CCGCAAAGCAAGCATCTGGAATACAATATACCATTTACTGTGACAGAGTTTGATGATACGATACAACATAGAAAAGGCACAGCACCTGGTCTTGACACAACCAGCTACGAGATATTGAAAAACCTACCTGATCAAACCAAAAGCTTAATCACTGAGTTGTATAACACGATATGGTCGAAAGGAGAAGTCCCAAAAGCATGGAAACATGCTGCAGTTATCCCGCTGCTAAAGCAAGGGAAAGACGAATCCCTACCAAACTCTTATCGACCGATCTCACTCACCTCCAACATGTGCAAAGACATGGAAGCCATGGTTACAAAAAGGCTCATGCATCACCTTGAAACTGAAAACCACATAAAACCTGACCAAAGTGGCTTCAGGAAGGGACACTCGTGTCTAGATCATATTCTAAGACTGGGAAATGAAATAAAAAAGCTCAAATAAACAGACAATATCTAGCCGCAGTATTTCTGGACTTCAGCAAAGCCTTCAACATGGTATGGCCTGGCGGACTCCTCTCAAAACTGGCACAAAATGGAGTAGAAGGGAACATGGCAAACTTCATAGACAGCTTCCTGCACGACAGGTCGATATCAGTTAAAATAGGGAACAATCGATCTGATCCTATGCCACAGGACAATGGCACGCCACAAGGCAACATTATAAGCCCAACCCTGTTTAATATCACGATCAATGATCTTTTTGACCATGTCAACTCTCCTACCCAAACTTCTAAATTCGCTGATGACGGAGCAATATGGGTAAAGCACAGAAATATTTCACAAATCAGAAAAAAAACTCCATTCAGCCCTGGACGGAGTAAATCAATGGTGCAATAACTGGGGATTCACCCTTTCAAGTGAAAAAACTGTTGGAGTTCTATTCAAACGCCGGGGGAAAGATGCTATGATACCCCGTGTCTCCATAAAAGGCAAACCAATCAAATTCGAAAAATCTGCAATATTTCTTGGGGTGATCCTTGATCAACACCTCACTTTGCACAAACATATAGAATATGTGGAAAACAGATGTCAAAAAGACCTGAACATATTACGGCCAATTTCAGGCACAACTTGGGGCACATCGAGGGACACTCAGCTCGACCTCTACACATCTCTTATCAGATCAAAAATTGACTACGGTTGTGAGGCCTTTCATTCAGCATCAAATACTGTCTTGAGATGCCTAGACAGAATACAATACAAAGCCCTTATGCTGGCCACAGGCCCCTCACTAGAAGCACTACAAGTAGAAATGGGAGAACTCCCATTGAAAGAGAGCAGGCAATATTATCGTTCTGGGGACGAACATGAAACTATTTGGTTAAAAAGATATGGCAAGACAAAAACACTCGAGATGAAGCCCAACTCGAAAAAAACCCTCACTAAAGCCATCTGGGATATTAGTACGTGAACTCATTGGAAGTCACAAGTGTGATGACATTCAGCCTCCAGAAAGTCACTACAAAGGGTTACACCCTCCCTGGACTTTAAAAACTCCCAAAGTTGACACTGCTTTACCATCAGAAGTCACTAAAAGGGAAAACCCAACCCAACTACGATACGTAGCTATCACTAAAATTCAAACTACCTGGGACAGCTGGGCCAATATATACACTGATGGATCCAAGAATCCTATCAACAAAAGTGCTTGTTACGGGATCCATATCCACAGCACCAAACCCCATGCACATTCAGTTCGCTTGCCCGATGGTCAGTCAGTATTCACGGCTGAATTGGAGGCAATTAATCATGCACTCAAACTCATACCGGAAATTCCGGAAGCAAAGGCAGTCGTCGTATCAGACTCGCTAAGTGCACTTCAGGCCATCAGCGGCAGAAACTCAAACTTCAGGCCAAACACAGTCAACAATATTCTATACGAATATACAAAACTATCGGACCAAGGGCAACAGGTGGAGCTGTGTTGGATTCCCTCTCACATAGATATTCATGGAAAAAGCAGACTCACTGGCGAAGCTAGCTCTAGACAAAGCGGATATACAGCCTATTCCCTTTAGTAAACTAGAGGTAAAAAGCAAAATCAAAGCCTCCATAGCAGAAAGATGGCAAGCCCAATGGGACGCAAGTAAGATCGGCAAATGGCTACACAAAATTCAACCCAAGGTCCAACAAAAGCCAAACTCATACTCAAATGAAAGGAAAATTGAAATTGCTATCTCACGCCTCAGATTCAGTCACAAAATGCACTATGACAAGGTTTGTTCATCTTGCAATCAGGCTGAAACCATTGCTCACATGTTACTAGAATGCCAAGACCATGCCGCAGCTCGGGCGAGTTAAAAACAAGAATTGCAGTTAGATCCGCTATCTGTCATAGACCTCCTAAAGCCAAGAGATGCAATAGCGAAGGCCAAACTAACTCTATTTATGAGAGTTGGACAGCTACACGAACGTATATAAACAGAGCAGCCAAGGATAAAAATGAAATCATATCAATATAAGAAAATAAAAATCATATCAATACAAAAACAGAAATTATGTGAACACCAAACTCACAATAGATAGGTGTACCCTACTCACACACAGGAGTCCCAAAGAGGGACAGGTCAGCCGAAATTGCTTAGGCAGAAGGCGACCTCTTAAACACTTAATACAACAACAACAGGTAGGTATATAGGTTGATTTTGACAGCCTGGGCCAAGTCGGACCCAACACTTCTGACAGAGATTTTCTTAGAAAAATACAGTAAAAGTGTTTGACTTTAACGGATCAGTTTTCTTTCAATGCCATGTGCTGTGACATTATAAAGTAGTATGTAGGTAGATTTTGACTATTTTGAGAATGTGGAATGAAAAGGGCTTCATTTTGAGCACCTTGTTTTCTTAAGATATATGAGAAACTATGAAGTGGTATATGGGTAGATATAATATTAATCTATGGATCTGAATCTATGGCATGATACATATGTGAGGTTTAAGTTGATGTTGACAGCCCGGGCCGAGTCGGGGCAAACACATGTGACAGATTTTCATGAGAAAATACAGTAAAAGTGCTTGACTTTAACGGACCCGTTTCCATTAAATGCGGTGTTCTGTGACATTATAAAGTGATATGTAGGTAGCTATATTACTAGTCCATAGATGTAAACACATTTTATCATGATGTACATCTGTGAGTTTAAAGTTGATTATGACAGTCCGGGCCAAGTCGGACCGAGCACAGACCAACCACTTCTAATAAAGAACGTTGAGAATGTGGAGGGAAATGGGCTTCCCTTTGAGCACCGTGTTTTCTTTAACTACTGCAACATGAGACACTTAGAGTGATATATAGGTAGATAAAATACTAGTCTTTAGGTGTAAAGAATGTTTAGTAACTTTTGAAGTTCTAGGACAGTTATTAACACGTGTCGTGTCAGCCCTATGACATTCGAAGAATATCTACTTCCAGAAAACATCCTGTGTTGGTTTAACATGAATTAGTAAATGTTAATTAGGGATGCCAAACACGTTAATTATTGAAAGAAGAGTAGTCAAAACACTGTCATTTCCTGCCCAGGACATCACACCCCTACACGCTGAGGTCGGTGAGAAACCTTCTCATCAAAGAAAACACACAGTCAAGAAATTTTGATTCAAACTCACTTAAATGAGAAAAAACTATACGTTTGTGGACATTTGAGATCTCCCGAGACATGTACGTTTCGTTTTATTATTCTGCAATCCATTTTTAATATTACCCGCTGGCCCGGCCCGGCCCGACTTTTCATGGCCCGATGTTTAGTGCAATCCCGTTAATAACAGTTTGTCATGATACATGTTTGTATTGAAACACGTGGATAATATAGAATGATAATTAGCAAATCTAATTCATTTGTCCAACTCGTTTTGTGTTCTATATTCGGCACAACAACTACGGAATTGCGCTAACGAAACAGTACCTTGACCTTTGACCTTTGAGTCGATTGTACAATTCCGACTACATAATGAGTATGTGTTTATGAATCACTATAAAATAGTGATGATACCAGGTGTTCGCGAAAACGGTGAGCATATCCTGCCCTGTCGGTACCTTCCGTCACAAACACATGCAAAGGCAAGTCAATTGTTCACCCGCAGTGTTGGTTCGTACAGGGATTTTACAGACGATTCGCTTACTGAAATAAGTTTACCAACTGTGCACAACACTTAAACATTATGGACGTAATGACAATGACAAAACCAAAGTCCCGAAAGGAAATATGGATAAGTCATGTGACATTAAAGTACTCACGGAAATGAAAAAAACCTGTTTTTTCGATCTCAGATTTTAAATAAATGCAGCTAATATACAAAATATATAAATATTCAAACAACTCAATTAGTACCAATTTGGCCTTGGCACAAATACAGCGTATCAAATGTTTTTATGTCTTTTTACAGGTAAATGTGTGTAAAAATATGAACAAAACAGACTATTGTGAAACTGAGCATAACCAGGTGTTAGTAGATCAAGGTGAATGTCCATGACCTATGACACCTTGACGACAGGTGAAAACAGGTGCTTGAAACCCACGTGCATGTGAATTGTCAGTGGTTAGTGATTTGTGAGTCGCATTGTGGGATAGTGAACCATCGTCAAAATATCAGAACGTAAAAGTAACATATTCCCTTCTCAAACAACAACTTACCTGTCATTATTATTATGTACATAAACATAGCTGTTATTTTTATTGTTGTTTTTATAACTTTTTTCCAGGCTAATTTGCATAATGCCTATAGCCTGTTTCTGCCATGTCAATTTGGACTTAGTTTTATTTTTGAATGTTGAAAGTGCCTACAAATTACCTCCTGTAAAGTACATTTTGTATTGAGCACTGAGATAAAACTAGCAAATCCAGACTAGTACTTTTCCAGTTGTTTTGTTATTTCGTATTTACATCTACGTAATGCTTTGTGTTGATTATTAAATCCAGCAAAACATTTTTTTTTCATTTCCATGAGTTCTTTATGACAACCCTTTAGACAAGGAGAATCAAGCTTTTTAATTAAACATTTAAACACTTTACGCAGTCTTGTTTTATTTAAACTGAAGCGGCTGCTCTAGTATATTTTTTACATAAACAAAACGGAAAACACAAACAAATACATTGAGTGAATGTTTTGAAGATGCCGTCAGTATTGTTCCTGCTGTCCCACAGCTACCGGTAAAGTTTGGACCAGGCAGAAGCTGGTCTAATCATGATAACGGCGTTGTTAGTCATCAGACGCAGACAGGAGGGCGCCGCCGAAATACGATGCATAAGACCGATATATATGTGGGCTATCAGTCTCCACCCACACCTCCTCGTCCTTGTTGAAGTGGGCGACGACTACAGCAGATGCAGCGCCGGTGTTACTGAACGTGGCGTCGGCATGTGCGACACCAGCTCCAATTATGACGTTTCCGGACTTCTTGATGAAGACGTTGATATAACTGCTTAACTCAAATATCTGCATCTGCGTCCAGAACATGTAGGATCCGTTGACCGGTGCTGTGAACACCCCTGTAGTGCTGTTGTAGCCGGAGCCAGCGTTGTAGAGGACGGTGCGGAAGGTCAAGGTCGTGGCGGCTGCTGGGTTTGTTGGCTTGTATACATGGAACGCAACATCCCTGGAGGCCAAGACTAAATAAAAACATGAGGTATAAATCTTGTCTAAATACAAGTTGAGATTCTGCATTCAGTAGAATCGGCAAGTTCAAACGATACTTACCATTTCGGTTGTTTAACATCGCAATACTCTACATGTAGGACGATTGAAGGAAGAGACATGGCTGAATTCTTACTATGATACTAAATATTTTAAACACATCAATATAACTGGTGTTCAATGTTTTAATAAACAATATTGAGGAATATTTGAAATAAAGTGGAATTGTTCCTAACCGAACAGGTTTCAAGTGAAATGGTACTATAGATTATAGTATTATATACGTAAATGGTCGCGAGTGGACGTCGTGTGTTTGCTTGTTCGTTTGTTCGTTAGTTATTTAACGTATTTTGGTTTGTTGTTTTACGCCGCACTCAGCAATATTCCAGCTATATGACGGGGGCCTGTAAATAATCGAGTCTGGGCCAGACAATCCAGTGATTGTCACCATGGGCATCGATCCACGCAATTGGGATCGATGACATGCATCAACCAAGTCAGCGAGCCTGACCACCCGATCCAGTTAGTCGCCTCTTACGGCAAGCATAGTCGCCTTTTACGGCAAGCATGGGTTGCTGAAGACCTATTCTACCCCGGATCGTCACGGATCGGACGTCGTGCTTGAGCGTGGACGTAAGTTGGCATCATGGACTTAACTGGATGTGACTGAACACAATGTGAGTCGCAGTGCGAGTGGAAAGTGTTGCTACTGTTACCTGATTTGGTTTTAGTTAGTTCTGACTTTACTACGCTAAGTTCTTTTGATGACGCGAGTAGCGTTGCATTGAGAGCAGCCATGTCATCTTTCAGAGAGGAAAGTTCAGCAGTGACTGCCTGTTGTTGTATCTTGCTGGTCCACAGCTCTGACTGAGTGGTCTGTAGATCTGTCTTTGTAGACCGAAGTTCAGTCTGTAGATCGTTCTTCATTGAGAGTAGATCCGCCTTAAGCTGACCGTTACTTGTCTGAAGACTCGTCACTGTCTGCTCCAGCATGGTCATGTGACTGAGGATGCTAGATAGGTACGTATGATTGCTGCCATCTGGTTTTGTTGCGGACAAACTTTGGCCAATAAGACATCCTGGCAGAAGTAGGATACACAGAAGCAAGGACACTGCCATTATACCTGCGGATTTAGCGTGATGTGACCAGTGTCTGGCCAACAACAACTGTGGGTTTCTCACATACAATTGTGACCTTTCCCTATCTCATCGATCATGTTGAGATAAGCATGTCAAAGTTCAGTTCAGCAAGTATATTTACCAGGATTATTTTACATACACAAAAAATGGTCTTCCAATTACAATATTATATTTTTCAAAACAGGTTACAAATTGTATCTTTTCTCTTCGTGTTCATTGCTTACTCAAAAAACGGTCTTCCAATTACAATATTACATTTTTCAAAACAGGTTACAAATTGTGTCTTTTCTCTTCGTGTTCATAGCTTACTCAAAAAATGGTCTTCCAATTACAATATTATATTTTTCAAAACAGGTTACAAATTGTGTCTTTTCTCTTCGTGTTCATTGCTTACTCAAAACATCATCGCATCTTTCAGACCACTGAGTTATACCTCACTGTTGTACAAAACTGTGATGACACGATCATAATAATGACTGGTAAAGTACTCGTTGTGTATTCTCCATCTTGATATGATCGCTGTAACATTCTGTAATGTTTCATGTGCTGTCATTACGATAATGCAACTTCGTTTAGGGCGGTGCTAGGATTCAGAATGTATCACATTCGATGACAAGATGGTATATAATGATTATATATGCGCCAAAGGTATAGTGAATTATCAAAAGATATCTTTACGATAAGTTGTTGACTTCCTGTAATTTCAAACCAAATGAGTGAGTGAGTGAGTATGGTTTTACGCTGCTTTTAGCAATTTTCCAGCAATATCACGGCGGGGGACACCAGAAATGGGTTTCACACATTGTACCCATGTCGGGAATCGAACCCGGGTCTTCGGCGAGACGAGCGAACGCTTTAACCACTAGGCTACCCGGCCGCCCCTTAACCAAATAAGAAAGACGTTATTTCACTCGAGGGAAATAGATTGTATCATTATTTCGAAAAAACATTCTGATATATTATAGTGTTTTGATGCGATAAATATACAAATAGAGTCACACGGCAGAAACTTCATTTAATGAGATCTTAACATCAATGAGACGCCTACTCGTTCAATAAACAATTGTTTCATGTTCTCGATACGGTTACATGGTTCATGCGTGCACGACGCTGCGGCAGATCTATTATTCTATTTATGTAAATACCATGGTTAATCATGCCAATTTAAACAGGTCCACCTAAATGCCATACCGATATAATTATAAACTAGCTATTCGTAGGTCAGGTTATTTAGTGTTCGTAGTGTAAAATTTACAACTCTATGGAAACAATAGTGAAATTCTCCAGATATGCGGGCCGAACTATAGATTGGTTGGTTTGGTTGGTTGATTTTTTGTTTAACGCCGCACTCAGCAATATTCCAGCTATATGACGGCGGTCTGTAAATAATCGAGTCTGGACCAGGCAGTCCAGTGATAAATATCATGGGCATCGATCCACGCAATTGGGATCGATGACATGCATCAACCAAGTCAGCAAGCCGGACCACCAGATCCCGTTAGTCGCCTTTTACGACAAGCATAGTCACCTTTTACGTCAACCATGGGTTGCTGAAGACCTATTCTACCCCGGAATCTTCACGGGTCCCGAACTATAGAAGGGAGTAAGGGTACAATGGAGCGGGTAAACATTCCTGGAGGATTTTGAACGATACCCGGTGACATTCCTTTCATAGCGTTTGGGCGGGAAGAAGTCACTTAACAGTATAGAATGAAGTATGTACATTCTTCATTTGAAGTGCACTCCTGAATTGGAAATTCTTGTTTGTTCCTGTGTTGACACTTGGAATGGAATGACATTTTTTAGTATCGCTCAGTCACAAGCTGACGTTCCACAAGCAAGAGTGATGTTGATGATGATGATGATGATGATGATAGTGGATCATCTCTGTATGGATTCTGTGTCCCGTAAGTCGACTGTATCACATGACTTGAGTTAATTTGACAGAAGGCTATCCGCGTTCAAGGATTGTCCGAGATAAATGAACCAGGCGTCGGAAGATATGGCACATGCTGGATTCGTGAATCGTGCTGATAGCTGCCATTGCTGTAAATGTGACATTCGTCTGAGGATGGGACGCCACTCTCGCAGTGTGGGTACAGGCGTAATCAGGTGTCCTAGAAGTGGACCGGGTACCAGGTGTCCTAGAAGTGGACCGGGTACCAGGAGTCCTAGAAGTGGACCGGGTACCAGGTGTCCTAGAAGTGGACCGGGTGCCAGGTGTCCTAGAAGTGGACCAGGTACCAGGAGTCCTAGAAATGGACCGGGTACCAGGTGTCCTAGAAGTGGACCGGGTACCAGGTGTCCTAGAAGTGGACCGGGTGCCAGGTGTCATAGAAGTGGACCGGGTGCCAGGTGTCCTAGAAGTGGACCAGGTACCAGGAGTCCTAGAAATGGACCGGGTACCAGGTGTCCTAGAAGTGGACCGGGTACCAGGAGTCCTAGAAGTGGACCGGGTACCAGGAGTCCTAGAAATGGACCGGGAACCAGGTGTCCTAGAAGTGGACCGGGTGCCAGGTGTCCTAAAAGTGGACCAGGTACCAGGAGTCCTAGAAGTGGACCGGGTACCAGGTGTCCTAGAAGTGTTCCAGGTCACGCTTTTTGGGGCAACATGGTGGGCTACCGGGTTGTAGTGCTGGTGGTGGTATGGCTTCCTAACAGGGAGTTGACAGTAGTGTCATGTAGTTCTGGAAACAATAAAAATGTGAACCACAGATAATAAGCGTTAAGTTGTTGCATATAATTGTGGTTAAAAATATTCAAGAACATTTCCAGCCTTGGCTTGACATGTGTAACCTTAGTCTACACTTTGGTATTATTATCAATGATATTTAGAAGCCTTAAAATGTATTTTGAAGGCCATATACTGTTACTTACTCGAACTCTTCGTTCATTATAGGGACCTACAGGTAGCCGCTCCTCCGTCAACCACATTCAGGATCGGGAAGAGTTTCATCGGCACAGGAAGATGAGTTGATGATCCTTGGACCTCGATTGTCGTCACATTTTTATATAATGGATGCTGCCATTCCTCCTCTGATGGAGGACAGTTTATGGTGAGCCATCGATGTTTGCAATGCCTGCTTTGACACAGGGCTACTCATAGTTCGAGCATCGTAACGCGATGAATACAGCCACCGACATCCTCGGGTGTATACCAGTGAACTTAGAGAGATTGAAGTTCCTACTAAGTTCAAAGGTCAAAGCAAACTCAACACATCACCTTACATGTTATTAAAGAGTGATCATTAACCTTGTACGGAGCTGTGTTCGAGTACTTCGAATGATCACCAACTTGGCAGGTAAACTCGTTTATTCATTCTTTTGGGTACAGTTTAAAGAAGAAAAAGGTGACTATGCTTGTCGCAAAAGGCGACTAACGGGATCGGGTGGTCCGGCTCGCTGACTTGGTTGATGCATGTCATCGATCCCAATTGCGTGAATCGATGCTCATGATATTAATCACTGGATTGTCTGGTCCAGACTCGATTCTTTACTGACCCTCGTCATATAGCTGGAATATTGCTGAGTGCGGCGTTAAACAACAAACCAACCAACCAACCAACCATGGTATGTGACCACACGTTTACACCACATGCTCCTGGACAGCGATACACCATAGGCGATCTTATCTTCCTAGCAACTCTGTGTATTTCAGAGTTGACCAGAAGTTAGTCTGTCCAGAGAAAGAAAATACACTTATTATTCCTGTTTTGACAAACAAGGTAATTATAGTGTGCAGGGACAAATAACCCTAATTTGAATTGTAAATAATCCATCGGGTAGTGCAGTCGCAGCCCATCACTGCAATGATGTGTAATTAGTTAGACTTCAGTAAATAAGTATTGATTCGCCACATAAACATAAATGATGTGTTCAATATTCTATGGTCAGGTAATTAATAATCCAAAGTAAAATATAAAAAAATCCATCGTTTCCATTCCAGCATATTGATGTTTGAGAAGTATATTTGTAAGGTAAGACAACTGAGACAATGGTCGTTGTCAAAGGATCCAATCGTCCTGCCCTGATGATTGTGATAATGATCCAAGTCGGGACATTCAGAGCCCACCAGGAGACGAGTGAAGGATGCTGCTGTCTGCTCGGGAGATGATATTCATCGTGTGTTGTATATGGGTCCAAGGTATGTAGAACATTTGGTCCATGTTTCAGTTTGAGTGTTGACCATGACGTAATATATATATATATATATATATACTACTCAAAAGAAGTTAAGGATCACCCGATTCTTTCATATTGGTAAAGTTAATCTGCCATGGCATGAGAGATTAACTATAGTAATATGAAAGAATCAGATGATCCTTAACTTCTTTTGAGTAGTATATGTGTCGTACAATTAAACTGACTGTTGCCAAACAAAATATTACCCAAGCTAATTACAACCTGTAGGAAACGATTTAATATGTGTGCTTGTGTATGTGGAAGAATGGAAGGAAGAAAACATATACTACTGGATAACGTTTCTCATGCCTAGAAACTACCCTGTCAGTTTGTGGATAACGTATTTAGATAATATATAAACACTATACACAGTTACAATACAATGTTAACTGGTGTTCCTTCAAAATGCCTCATTGAAGTCTGTTTTGTTTTTTACAAGTCACTGTGTTATCTATACTGAACCGCAAAAGAAACGTCACCATGGATAGATATATAAGAAACCTCATTTGTCCGAACACTGTAAACATACTTGGGGACATATTAAACAGATGAAACTTGGCATAACTGATCATCAAGGTTGGAATTAAGGTGCCCATTGTTTGTAAAATGAAACACAACACTTGTCTCTGAGAAAATGGCAAGTCTGTATCTCGTGTGTCCGTCATGTGCATTGATGACTGCCGTGCAACGTCCACACATGGAATGGATGAGGCGGTTGAGGAAGGCCATAGACACTTGAGCCCACACTCCGAGGAACGCCTGACGCAGTTAAGCTACAGTTGTCGGCCTTGGTCGGACGTCATTCAGACGTCTTTGAATCTCGCCCTAAGGGTACTCAATGGGATATAAATCCGGACTGAGGGCAGGCCACTGCATGGTTCTGATGCCATTCTGCTGGAGGAAGTCTCTCGTTGCTCTTGCCCTGTGGGCACAGGCGTTAGACTTGACCAATGTACCTAGCTGCCGTGACACCATTGCCTCTCCCTGGACCGATGTTCTGGAAGACCACAGGGCCGACCCTCTGTGCAAGACCAATTCCATCCCACACCATGATGCTCAGACCACCCCACGAGTCTGTCTCAACAACACAAGCATCCGAATAACGTTCCCTACGGCGTCGCCAGACTCTCTCTCTCTCTCTGCTATCCGCTGTTGAGATACAGTAACGGCTCTCGTCTGAGAAGAGCCAATGCTGATGCTGTGTTGCCCACTGAAGACGGTCCCGGCAATGACGTGGTGCCAGAATGGGTCCTCGGTGTGGCCTGCAGTGACAGTGGAGGTGTCTGCTCGTCAATCGTCGACGCACGGTGTCCGCACTAATGTATTACGTGTGTGTCCCCATGGTCTGTCGAGCAGTTTCCACAGCAGTAATAAAGCGATGTTGAAGATGCTGTCGCACAATCTGACGATCCTACGTGGACGGTCAACTGTAGTGTTGGTGGTCTGGTACCGTTGCTGGAATCTGTTTATGGTCCTTATGTGAACTTGAAATGCATTGTTTGTCCAGCTTGCAATCGTCCAAGTATTTGGTGTCGCTGATTTCTTGTCAGTCTTGGCATGTTGTAGCAATTCAATAACGAATGAATGTCATCCGATCTGGGTGGATGTTTTGTAGGGCAAGAAAAAGGGGAACTCATGTGCATTCCAATTTACACGGAACTCGTGCATCGGGTTACCATGTCCGTTGCCATGATGCGTTTGTGCGATTGGTTTTATTGTCATCTCCTTTTTTTAATCATCAAATTTCATGTTTCCAGACAAGGTAATGTTACGTTTTAGAAACTTTGTCAAAACTTAACCAGATATTTAATGACAACGTTTCATGCAATGCTACTTGGGGTGACTTGCTTTTGCGGTTCAGTATAAAATAACTAGTTAAAAATAGGCCTTGATATCAATAATTTCATGCGGGCACCAACGTCCTATTAAAGAATAGTGGTGCCTCCGTTGAACTACCTACATGTACCATAACAATTTTAAACCAAACTGTTGCTGAAGACCTATTCTATCCCGGATCTTCACGGGTAACCTCAAAAAGATTTTTTTTTGGTTTAAAATAGTCCTTGATGTCAGTAATTTCATTAGGGCACCTGACTCATGGTCGTGAATAGTGGCGACTACCTACAACATTAAGTTGGCACGCTATGGAATATTGTCAAGAATAGTGTTAGACCAAGCTGTCACACTCTCTGTTATCATCAGCGTTGTCATGTGTCCTTCATAGGGATATTCTACAAAAGGACTCCTATTCCATGCCCAAAATACTACTGATTATCTCTGCTACCCCATGCACGTCTAGTATTTTTATTTATGCACAGGCAAAGATGTATTTACAGAGAAACGTTTCAATGAGAGTTTACATAATAAGGCAGTGCAACATGAGGACGATTCACAATGGTCATAATGGTCCTTACCTTCCTTTTGGACAGTGTTCCAGTTGTGAAGTATACGTGTCCTCAATGATATCACGTTCAGTCTGAATATCTCCGCATGAAAGGTGACTAAGCTAGATTTATTTGCATTGTATTGCAACTCGTCTTTCTAGTGGAGATTCATAAAACATAACAATTATTCCTTCAGATCGGCTTCATGTCAAGGCAGAGAATATCATGTTACAAAAACCAAGGCGCCTCAGTACTACTTACAAATGGAAATCTGGTGGCAAAGATTATTATTACCACGCTGCCTATGCCAATGATGGCAGCAAGACCCACGGGGCAGCGAGAAGTGGTTTTCAGCCAGGCCCCTACTGGCAGGGAGACTTGCAAGGGTTCTACACAGTACATAACATCACAGTCACCAGCGACGACAATAATGCTTTTGGTGAGCCGATATATGTATCAAAATTAATATAATACCAACCCCTATATGAAATGATCATGTCCAGTGTTAACAATCTTTCAAGAATCACATTTACTGGGGACATAATGTTTCAGAAAACTATGCATTTCTAAAATCCTACATTAGACGACCGATTTACGTTGCATGCGTCAAGACAACATCAGTAGTATAGAACGGGTCCGCAGAACGTAGTTTTGGTTGATCCGGTTGATCCAGGTGGATGCGAAGGTGATTGGTTGATCCAAGTCACGTGATCGGATAGGATGACTCATGCATCAACAGCGCGTCACAGGTGAGGGGGGAATGAAAGGTGTGTGTTTATAAGGCAGAAAAGAATTCGTAGGAAAACAAAAGTAAAAGGTTATTGAATAGAGCTATGTGTATAGCGTGCTGCCCTGAATAGACAAGCAGCCCAGTTTGAATTGAGCGCGCTTGACAACTCACGTGGCCTCGTCGTTTAACCCGTGCTCGCTAGAGCGTGCGACCTGGTTTGATGAATGCAGGGTGTGTGTTGAAAGTACAAGTACCACAATAGAGACGGGTTGTGTCAACACGATATACGCCGGGTAATGTAGGCACACACAAAACTGTACGTCTAGCTGGATCAAATTCATCTTGTACGGTCTACACGTTGTACACCATGAACGTTAGACAACCTGTATAGAAAAAAATATAGACAAAATAGATAAGACTACGCAATCAGCAAGCTAGCAGTGTCGTTTAATTACAGTTAGCGAGCAAGAACGAGGTCGTCACGTCACCCTGCATTGACTATAACGCTGAAGGCAGCCGGATTTCGAATCACCCCGCGCTGCGTACTATTGTGAACCATTTGTATAGAACTTATTCAGATCTGTCCCGACTTGCATAGTTGATGTTTCAATGCTAGCGTTTCCTTTTAACGCGATGACAAATAAGCCCTACGGTTTGAGTTTTAACCGTGTAACATGATGTGCACAGTTTTACTTCAGAACGTGCTATTTTAAAAATAGATAGTTAGAACCATGTCTATGTTCAATAAGAAACTGTTAAGTACATGTACCAGTGTGACGGCACGAAGCTAGGTTTGTTGGGAAAGTGATGGAAGCAATCTATAGGACATTTTCATGTTTACAATACTCACCCTTAATTCGAAGAGGGAACAGAGTTAATCATGGAAAATTGTTTGACGAGGAAAATGTTTTATTGGAAATATATGTCGAAGCAGGTTTTTTCATAGCTAATGTATAGCAGAGAGACTAAGCGACCGACCGCCCATAACAATGTCAACATACCCCGGCCTTACAATTAATGTTAACATACCAGCCTCGCCTGAAGCTTCCCATTCATAAATTGTGTGACCAGTGTCCCGTATTTATGATACGTTAGGGAACATGTGTTGTACATTTGTTATTTTAAAAGGGAGTTATTTCAGAGAGGATATATATGGGTATTCCCCCTCATTAAACCTTTCTTTCGTTGGTGTCTATTAAACGTATCCGGTATTTAATACATTTGAATGATGTAGGAAAGTATGTGCGTGTAGATGTTGTACCTATATCCGAACACGAATGTATGACACCTTTCAAATAGATCAATTACGGTTCTAACCACGACACGCAACATGACTATGAGCGTGGTTAGCAGTTCATATTTATAAACACATCGTAAATGACAGATTTCTGATGAATGAACTCGCCCGCACACATGTCTATAGGGTTATGTTCGCCCGAACTGTAAACAGTGACACATTGGATAACAGGAAGGGTGTGTGGAATGCACTCGTCCTTGTAAGGGTAAAATACGCGTTTAAACTCACCATTTAAATGATGATGACATTACTTTTTTAGATGTATTGGTATCAGTGAGTGAGTGAATTTAGTTTTACGCCACACTCGGCATTATTCCAGCTCTAGGACGGTCGTCTGTCAATAAACGAGCTTGGATCAGACAATCTAGTGATCAACAGCATGAGCAGCGATCTGTGCAACAAGGAACCGATGGCACGTGTCATCCGAGTCGGCGAGACTGACCAACCGATCCCCGTCAGTCGCCGATAAGCATGGGTTACTGAAGGTCCATTCTATAACCAGGGACCTTCACGGGTGTAGTATGACGATGACTATATACTAATATGATCGCTTTTTTGACATGCTCACAAGTGTGCTGTAAAGAAAAGAGTGTCTTCCAAGAATCCCTGCACGTGTAAGACAGTAAAAACTCTACAGTAGTGTAGCCCGACAAACAGTTTTACTCTCGCCAGCAAACGGATTGGACGTGAACAACATGACGAAAGCATCAGAGATTAGACTTGACCCTAGAGATATATTTAGGAAGACTACGCTGAGAAAATCACAACAGAGAAAGAAACCACAAGCAGCCAAGAAGTCGACGCTGAAGACAAAGAAGAGACAGGTAACACCTAAAATGAAAACGATGACAACCAAACAGGTCTCGAAGACGACACCCCAACCCGTGAAAATACAACATGTGTCGGAGGTGAAGGCTGTGGTGGAACGGGCACTTGCTGCCTTGAAGCGTCAACAGAGTCAAGGGTATAAAAGAAAGCTTCATACCCTCTAATCGCACACCGTATTGGATCACCATGGGGGTTGCCACCTGTCCGGACTGTGAAAAAATGTTTTCAAGGAGAGATGTCATGTTACGCCATTACAAGCCCACCCGCTAACGCCGCCGCCGCCGCTGCTGCATCGAGCCAACCCGCCGTTACAAGCACATGCGCCGCCGCCATCGCAAGTCCACTCGTGGCTGCCTCATTTACCATGTATATCTGATATTCGAGAACAATTCAAGTTCCTGATTCCCTCAAATGCGCTCGTTGTGGGACCAAGTGGTTGTGGAAAGTCTGTGTTTACCTCTCATGTACTCCGGCATGGCCTGATCCAACCCCAACCTACCCGCATTGTTTGGTGTTATACTCAATCGCAGCCATTATATCAGGACCTCGGTGAGCAGCTGCCTCAGCTGACCTTTGTCAAAGGAATTCCCTACGATATCTTGGACGAGGATTACTTTGATGCTCGTCAACAGAACGTGTTGGTCCTGGATGATTTCCTGGCCGAAGCAAAGCACGACAAGCGTATTTCGCGGCTGTTTACTCAAACCTCACATCACAAGAATGTATTGATCTTTCTCTTGATACAAAATCTGTTTCCGAGAGGTAAGGAATCGAGAGACATTGCTTTGAACGCGCATTATGTCACCCTGTTTCATTCCCCCATAGATAAACAGCAAATCAAACTCTTCGCTAGTAGAATTTTCACCGAACATATGGATCACTTTATGGCTATGTATGAAAAGGTTGCTGAAACACCCTATGGACAACTCACCATCGATCTAAAACCTACCACCAAAGATAAGGATCGACTGCATGTTAACCTCATAAATGAGGAAAACAGGAGAACAACAGCACAGTCTGAACCTGATCTGCATAGGGAGAAGTTGACTACAACAGAATCTCTGGATAGTTCTCTGACACAAGAAGAGAGATTGCCCCAACATCAGCTCACTCCAATTGAAACCGATTCAGACACGAGTAGTGAGACATCGTTGACTATGGCCACGGCTTGCGCAGATTGCGGGGTGCTGATAGATAACATGCACGATCTACAGCGACATATCAAACACTGGTGTCCGGCCAATAGCCTTCAACCTAAGAGAAAGCATGCCAGACTCGAGAGTGATGACGATGACAGTGACTTTGACGACCTAGCCTCTTCCCAGAAAGGCAGTGGTCTTGCCGTCAAACCTCCACGTGGGAAGTCAACATTCACTAATATGGAAGCCGAGGAGTGGCAAAATGTAGGCTTACAACGCATCCGGAAGCAGGTGTATGATACGTTTCATGACAAGATGAAACTGCAGAAAAAACAGTACAAGCGACAGGGACGAACACAAGAATGGATTGAGAGAAGATTGAAACTGAGGTGGGAGGATCTAGTGCGTAGTACTCTCAACTATGCGATGGAATATACCACGTACTTTAAAGAGGCACCTCTGTTTCAAAACATGCTATACAACCTGGGAGACATGAATCCTTCCACGGAACAATCCGTTCTCAAAAATAAAATCAAACTCCTCCTAAAACCCAAGATGAAAGAGATCCTGCCTTTGATGGATATGCCGGAAATAGACAGTGAGACTGAATCTGATAGCGTTGCAGAGGATAACGACGGTGATGACGAGGAGGAGGATGATGATCGTGAGCAGAACGATTAGGCATAAATACCCATCACTACTGTATCAGTCTAACACTCTGAAGAGAATGCCGAGTCAATGCCACGCGTCTAGTTTGATTCATATTTTGAAAACACCTCGTAAACTGAGGCGTTTGAACGATAAGAAAAGCCGAATTTCCCTCTACGTGAGAGGAATGGTGAAACTGGGACCTCCTGGACGGAAATCGTTACAAGCAATGGATAAAGCATAGACTATAGACAACCATTCAACCTTAAAACAGCGTAGGAAAGGAAACATTCCACACATTCAAATGTGTTTCAAAACATGGACTCGCTATTTAAACAATAGGGCCTTCGAGCAGCAGCAGCATGTGTATATGAGTGACTAAATAATGTTCCAGAGTGAATACTATTGTCCATTCGTATATCACGGCTTTGTATGGAACCGATTGGCTCGAATCAATAAATGATACGAATGAATTGTTTGTTTTTTCTCAGTTTTTGCACATTAGCATATAGTCTTCGTCATACTACACCCGTGAAGGTCCCGGGTTATAGAATGGACCTTCAGTAATCCATGCTTATCGGCGATTGACGGGGATCGGTTGGTCAGTCTCGCCGACTCGGATGACACGTGCCATCGGTTCCTTGTTGCACAGATCGCTGCTCATGCTGTTGATCACTAGATTGTCTGGTCCAAGCTCGTTTATTGACAGACGACCGTCCTAGAGCTGGAATAATGCCGAGTGTGGCGTAAAACTAAATTCACTCACTCACTGATACCAATACATCTAAAAAAGTAATGTCATCATCATTTAAATGGTGAGTTTAAACGCGTATTTTACCCTTACAAGGACGAGTGCATTCCACACACCCTTCCTGTTATCCAATGTGTCACTGTTTACAGTTCGGGCGAACATAACCCTATAGACATGTGTGCGGGCGAGTTCATTCATCAGAAATCTGTCATTTACGATGTGTTTATAAATATGAACTGCTAACCACGCTCATAGTCATGTTGCGTGTCGTGGTTAGAACCGTAATTGATCTATTTGAAAGGTGTCATACATTCGTGTTCGGATATAGGTACAACATCTACACGCACATACTTTCCTACATCATTCAAATGTATTAAATACCGGATACGTTTAATAGACACCAACGAAAGAAAGGTTTAATGAGGGGGAATACCCATATATATCCTCTCTGAAATAACTCCCTTTTAAAATAACAAATGTACGTATCATACCCTAACGTATCATAAATACGGGACACTGGTCACACAATTTATGAATGGGAAGCTTCAGGCGAGGCTGGTATGTTAACATTAATTGTAAGGCCGGGGTATGTTGACATTGTTATGGGCGGTCGGTCGCTTAGTCTCTCTGCTATACATTAGCTATGAAAAAACCTGCTTCGACATATATTTCCAATAAAACATTTTCCTCGTCAAACAATTTTCCATGATAAACTCTGTTCTCTCTTCGAATTAAGGGTGAGTATTGTAAACATGAAAATGTCCTATAGATTGCTTCCATCACTTTCCCAACAAACCTAGCTTCGTGCCGTCACACTGGTACATGTACTTAACAGTTTCTTATTGAACATAGACATGGTTCTAACTATCTTTTTTCAAAATAGCACGTTCTGAAGTAAAACTGTGCACATCATGTTACACGGTTAAAACTCAAACCGTAGGGCTTATTTGTCATCGCGTTAAAAGGAAACGCTAGCATTGAAACATCAACTATGCAAGTCGGGACAGATCTGAATAAGTTCTATACAAATGGTTCACAATAGTACGCAGCGCGGGGTGATTCGAAATCCGGCTGCCTTCAGCGTTATAGTCAATGCAGGGTGACGTGACGACCTCGTTCTTGCGCGCTAACTGTAATTAAACGACACTGCTAGCTTGCTGATTGCGTAGTCTTATCTATTTTGTCTATATTTTTTTCTATACAGGTTGTCTAACGTTCATGGTGTACAACGTGTAGACCGTACAAGATGAATTTGATCCAGCTAGACGTACAGTTTTGTGTGTGCCTACATTACCCGGCGTATATCGTGTTGACACAACCCGTCTCTATTGTGGTACTTGTACTTTCAACACACACCCTGCATTCATCAAACCAGGTCGCACGCTTTAGCGAGCGCGGGTTAAACGACGAGGCCACGTGAGTTGTCAAGCGCGCTCAATTCAAACTGGGCTGCTTGTCTATTCAGGGCAGCACGCTATACACATAGCTCTATTCAATAACCTTTTACTTTTGTTTTCCTACGAATTCTTTTCTGCCTTATAAACACACACCTTTCATTCCCCCTCACCTGTGACGCGCTGTTGATGCATGAGTCATCCTATCCGATCACGTGACTTGGATCAACCAATCACCTTCGCATCCGCCTGGATCAACCGGATCAACCAAAACTACCTTCTGCGGACCCGTTCTATACTACTAACATCTGCTCAAATCATATCATATGTAACTCATTATGCATAAACATTCCAGTATTTTTATGAATGAAGTATTTATCTTGTCTTGGGACTGAAGAGCTCACAATAAGATGTGAAGTCATAATCTATTAATTTGATGAACCAACTGTTTAGTTGTACATAATACATATTGTTTCAATTCCGCAGCTTCCGAAATCAGAGATGCGTACATTGGTGTATCGTCAGTTGACATCAAGTGCCCGGATGACGATGTGACCTGGTGTGGTCAATGGCCGGCAGGTACATTACCTAAAAAAACCTTGACCTTCAGCTGTTCCCACGTGCAGCCTGTGAGATTCGTGAGGGTCTGGAGAAACATCACAGGCTACCTGAATGTCCAGGAGGTCGAGGTTGAGGGCACTCCGAGAAGAACAAGGGGTAACTATTGGGTTGTGTATAATGCTATACATGGGGATTTAATAAATATACACAATTTGTGTTTATGCCAGCATGATTATACGTGCCTTACTCGACCACCCATCCTCCCAAACACCCTCCCATGATATATAATCCATTATACACCCCGGGAAGGACAATGGGTAACTGTTGGATCTTGACTGATGTCATGGCTATAGATTACATCACGGCAGAAATTCCCAAGTGGTGCTGGATTACATAAATAGCAATATTTGTCTGTGACTTTCATGCACAATCAGGGCGGGCGGGTATCCTAGTGGTTAAAGCGTTCGCTCGTCACGCCGAAGACCCGGGTTCGATTCCCGACATGGGTACAATGTGTGAAGCCCATTTCTGGTGTCCCCCGCCGTGATATTGCTGGAATATTGCTAAAAGCGGCGTAAAACCATACTCACTCACTCACTCACTCACTCAAGCACAATCATAACGTTCCTCACTCGACTACGTGCCCTCTCACCCTCTATCTCAGTATAAACACAAATATATCATATACTATGAATATTCCTACTCATTCACTCGCTCACAAACTAACAGGCGCACTTCTACAGTTATTGCACACAACCTAGATGTGTATTTGTCTTCCGCTATATCTGAGGATCTGTCACAATAGCACTGCAGTGTGTTGTAAATGAATGCTCCTAACACATCTCCATGCTCCTGTTCAGCTCATTCAGTGAGACAGTTCTTATAGATTTTGCAAATTTCTATATTTTAGCCGCCAAGTACAACAAGAGTCTGAACAAGAAGCTGTACACACCTCTGACGTCAGTGTATGCCATATCAGCCAGTGACTGTGGTATCAAGTGTTACAAGACCCAGCCTTGCCTCGGTTTCAGCTACAATCCATCTGCTGATCCATCCTGTCTCCTTGCGACATCAACAAAAACGACAACAGCCACCGACTGGGTTACGTACTCCATCACTGACTGCTCCAACCACATCACTTGTGACCTGACTGATCAGTTCAAATAATTACCCTTCATTACTCGATTTCTAGTTCTAGTACCGGTGCCAGCTTTTGATGTACGCTCGAACATGCAATTTCCAGCAACATTTCAAAGAACGCCAAACGTCTCTTGCTCAGAAGTTATTTGATCAAGGTTTCATCATTCAAGACCTCCGTAAATCTTTTACATTGTATTATCGTAGACATGCAGAGGACATTTCCAAATATGACACATCAGTGACAAGAATGATGTCCGATTCAGTTCCATATTTTGTCTTGTACCAGATGTCCCCGTGCTTTTTTATGTGAACAATTGGCTTGTCGTTGCATGGCTTTGTGACGGGTACCACCGGTGGGGTAGGATACGCTCACCCTTTGGCGAACACCTGGCATCATCACTATTTCACAGGGCGGTCGGGTAGCCTAGTGGTTAAAACGTTCGCTCGTCACGTCAAAGACTCGGGTTCGATTCCCGACATTTCTGGTGTCCCCCGCCGTGATATTGCTGTAATATTGCTAATAGCTGCGTAAAATCATACTCACTCCTTATTTGATAATGACTCATAAACATGCTCATGAAATAATCGGAATCACTCAATTGAACACGCTTTTGGCAGAGCTTTCGTCGCTTTTATTGTTATTGTAATGGAATGTTGATGTACTCCTGTCATAAATACACAAAATAACAGCCTTTAAAACAAACTGGCATTGACTTTTACTGATAAACTGTACAGAAGGGAAATAAGGTGAAACAGAGCATAACGTCACGTTCAATATTGAATATGTGTGTGCGTGCGTGCGTGCGTGCGTGCGTGCGTGCGTGTGTTAGTCCATTAGGATGCTATGCTGCCGTTTAACATGAATACATCACTCAGACACAGTTTCCTGACTCCGAGCCGACCAGTCCTTGTTTTAACCCCTTTAGGCCGAGCGCTAGTCAGGGTAACAACAAGTGCCATCATTTTACGTCTTTTGGAATGACGCGGCTGGGGATCGAACCCCCTCTATAGGCGGACCACAGAGGCGGTCTTACATAAGCGAACCAACCCAACATTATCTATGCAGATGGATAGAACGTCATTGATGTGAATGCATATAGTTAACTGTAGCGTTTAAGTAAACTTCATTATTTTAATTTGATTATCTCGAAAAGTGGGATGAAACAGTTGCTATTGCTTCACGCTATAACACAGAATCATTGATTGAATGTAACAAGTCGACGTATGAAGATTCAAAAATATGTTTCGGATTACCAATGTACACTTGGCTCGGATATCCCGAGTCCAGGAAAGGCAGTAAAATATGTCAAACGTAAAGAATTCTCGGTTTCTGTGTGTAGTAGTATAGGGTGCGTACTGTCTTTTCGTTATGCTTCGAAAATCTCAGCATACACCTTACACGTCACATTTTGCATGAGATCAACCTCGATGAACCTTCACTTAAGGATTGAAATTGTATTTGTTGACGTTCATCAGCTGATGAAGACAGTGGCGCAGGTGAGTGAGTGAGTGAGTTGGGTTTACACCGCTTTTAACACTATCCCAGTTATATCACGGCGTGTCAGCTTAATGTGGGAGGAAAGCCCGAAGTGATGCAGGTCTCAGACGTTTACCACTTCGGTGAGAACATGAGCACGGGTTTGGTGCTGACAAACCCAGAAACATAATTGGGGCGAACCGGGATGCGAACCCACAATCATAGGTTTCTGGCGTGTCCAAGGGACGCAACTCTGCAAAGCGAATCGCGGCGCCTTAGACGACCCGTGCCCCCGGCGCAGGTGAGCAAATTCCATGATTTGCTCACGTGAGGCGTTGTCTTCAGCAGCTGATGAATGTCAACAATAACAACTTCAATCCTTATTTGACAGATACATAAATCACAACAAAACAATCCATTAAAACATCAAACTTTAATTACTTAAAGGGAACTATATGAACGCGGAGAGTCTTTGAGTTTGGTGGTGAGAGCTTTGATTTTAACCCACTGGATGCCGCGGCTTGGGTTGTCACGGATGTGGTCTGATAGAGCTGATTTAGAGTCATCTTTGGACACTGAACTTTGATGTTCTTTAATTCGTGTTTTGAGTGGCCTAGATGTTTCTCCAAAATAAGCTTGTCCACACTTGCATAGAGTGTGGTAAATCTCCTGATGGTTCTAGTTTGTGGCTGGATGGTGGTTTTCCTGTGGCCTAATTGTGTTCTGAATGCTCTTGAAAACTACAGTGTTGGTCTGTGCCTTTAAGAGTCTCTGGATCGCGTGGCTTACTGTTCCACAATAAGGGAGACTGATCACAAAGGGTGCAGATTGTCGATGGTGAAATTTCTGAAATTTCTGAGTGATGTTCTGTATCGTCTTTTGTACTAGCTGCCCAGGGTAGTGGTTGTACTGTGTGAACACTTGTATTGTCTGTTGTACTAGCTGCTCAGGGTAGTGGTTGTACTGTGTGAACACTTGTATTGTCTGTTGTACTAGCTGCTCAGGGTAGTGGTTGTACTGTGTGAACACTTGTATTGTCTGTTGTACTAGCTGCTCAGGGTAGTGGTTGTATTGTGTGAACACTTGTATTGTCTGTTGTACTCGTTGCTCAGGGTAGAGGTTGATCTGTGTGAACACTTGTATTGTCTGTTGTACTAGTTGCTCAGGGTAGTGGTTGTACTGTGTGAACACTTGTATTATCTGTTGTACCAGCTGCTCAGGGTAGTGGTTGTACTGTGTGAACACTTGTATTATCTGTTGTACCAGCTGCTCAGGGTAGTGGTTGTACTGTGTGAACACTTGTATTGTCTGTTGTACTAGCTGCTCAGGGTAGAGATTGTACTGTGTGAACACTTGTATTGTCTGTTGTACTAGTTACTCAGGGTAGTGGTTGTATTGTGTGAACACTTGTATCGTCTGTTGTACTAGCTGCTCAGGGTAGTGGTTGTACTGTGTGAACACTTGTATCGTCTGTTGTACTAGTTGCTCAGGGTAGTGGTTGTATTGTGTGAACACTTGTATTGTCTGTTGTACTAGTTGCTCAGGGTAGTGGTTGTACTGTGTGAACACTTGTATCGTCTGTTGTACTAGTTGCTCAGGGTAGTGGTTGTATTGTGTGAACACTTGTATTGTCTGTTGTACTAGTTGCTCAGGGTAGTGGTTGTACTGTGTGAACACATCTATTGTCTGTTGTACCAGTTGCTCAGGGTAGTGGTTGTACTGTGTGAACACTTGTATTGTCTATTGTACAAGTTGCTCAGGGTAGTGGTTGTACTGTGTGAACACTTGTATCGTCTGTTGTACTAGCTGCTCAGGGTAGTGGTTGTACTGTGTGAACACTTGTATCGTCTGTTGTACCAGCTGCTCATGGTAGAGGTTGTACTGTGTGAACACTTGTATCGTCTGTTGTACCAGCTGCTCAGGGTAGTGGTTGTACTGTGTGAACACTTGTATCGTCTGTTGTACTAGTTGCTCAGGGTAGTGGTTGTACTGTGTGAACACTTGTATCGTCTGTTGTACCAGCTGCTCAGGGTAGAGGTTGTACTGTGTGAACACTTGTATCGTCTGTTGTACCAGCTGCTCAGGGTAGAGGTTGTACTGTGTGAACACTTGTATTGTCTGTTGTACTAGTTGCTCAGGGTAGTGGTTGTACTGTGTGAACACTTGTATTGTCTATTGTACTAGTTGCTCAGGGTAGTGGTTGTACTGTGTGAACACTTGTATTGTCTTTTGTACTAGTTGCTCAGGGCAGTGGTTGTACTGTGTGAACACTTGTATTGTCTGTTGTACTAGCTGTTCGGGGTAGTGGTTGTACTGTGTGGATACTTGTTTGAGCTGGTTTAGTTCAGTGGTAAGATGTTGCTTCGTAGAACAGATGTTGTGAGCTCGTCTAGCTGGGGTTGAGATAATTCCTTTCTTGACTTTAGGTAGACGGTGGGAGGCATAATGAAGGTTTTCATCTGTGTTTGTTGGCTGCCGATAGACAATACAGAACACCACTAAGAAACAGAAATCTCCCGTCAACAACCTGCACCCTTTGTGAAACAGACCTGAAAAAAACATGACGCCCATAGGTGTGTCTACTTCATACCTAACGTCTCATCCCAAATCTTACATGTATATATTCCTTTCATCATCATAGATGAAATCCGAACATTCGTTAATCCACTGTTTTGGTGTAATCAGGTGGGCTTCAAGGTGGAGAGTATTGATTTTCTAACAGTTCCCTGTCAATATCACATAATGTATATTGATACATTGATTAAACATTGATGAAGACATTCCTTGATAGAGAAGAAGGCCGTAACAATCAGCATTATCAATGGTTCCAATCGTCTTGCTGTGATGATTTCGATAACGATCATAGTCAGATTATTCAGAAACTAACAGAAGGCGATTGAAGGATGCTGCTGTCTGCTCGAAAGCTGATACTCGCCCTGTGTTTTATATAGTGCATCCGTTTCGTGAAAATTTTGCAATTTGTGATAAAAACATGAGTATTTAATGCTTGTTTGTGCATATCTTTTGAGCGACTAAAATTTAACGCGGTGACACAAATCTTTAAGCAAGTTCGAATAGAATTTTTTTAATCATCCTTGCAACGCACAACAATAAAATTACAAGGTGACTTTGTAAATATACTGTAGATATGCTGCCTTGGTATATGTCCGGGTTTCCTTGTGATTGCGATGTAATCTCTCTCCTGTAAGCTTCCCCTATGTAGGATCTCACATCTAGCAAGTCGGAAACATGTGTACCAGGACAACAATATAATAATAAGTCCATTTATACTGCGCCAGATTCCATTCACACAGTTAACACTCATGGCGCTACATAGTTTTAGCAAATAATGCTGAAGAAAGGGGAGTAGAGTTGATAGTGTTGTCTGAAAAGGTGTGTTTTCAGATGAGTCTTAAAGGATGAAAGCGAGGCGACAGCTTAAGATCAGATGGTAGTTTGTTCCATAGCGAGGAAGCGCAGAACTGGAAAGATCTCTGACCAAAGGTTTTGAGACGGGTTTCAAGTACATCCTGTGTTGTATACATGCTAATGGAAACGGATATGGGAACAATGAAAAATATAGGGAAATAAGCTTTGCTGTCAGTACATTTGACATAGCGAGCATGTTTTGTGTATATTGAGACGTCGTACAACTTGATGGATAAAAACTTCTGGTTTATTGCATACAGCTACGTTTCCATGTAGATTCTTACACTGTTATCAAGCTGAAGAAAAGGTACAGTCAAAACGGACACAGAAAAAGTGAAAACGGCCACAACCCATAGTCAAAACGGCCACTTAAGATGTCATACAGCGACAATAGAAAATTCAAAACGGCCACACAGGAAAATAAAGACTACAAACTCAATTATTGTGTCACAATAAAACAGTGAAAGCATTCCACATCAGGATCATGTTTTCACACCAGATTAGTACACTGGTCAGTACAGAGATCAAAGTAGTTTGTTGAACTCCGCTGGATGAGATTACATTGTAATAGCAGCCTGTACCATGCACTCCGTACACATCCTTCTCACACCCCAGCAAACACACTGATACTGGGCCAACATGGAGCCAACGCTGTTTACCTCTACAATCTAATAATTATATTTAATAATACTTTTAAAAAATACACACCGCCAGACATTTTGCTGATTTATTTTCGTAGCTCTTGCTTTAGAGAAAGGTATTGTTATTAACTAAATTATTTGATTATATTTCATCACTGAAATAATCGCAAATTGGCTATGGTTGGTCTGTTAAGTGGATCAGCATTATTTATGTGGTTGCCACGGGCTATACGTTTTTAAAAACACATATCTCATGGATTTAATTTTACCTCTGTAGCGATGTAATATGACCCTAAAATGCAATAAAGTCAACCTTTTGTTGTTGTGGCCTTTTTGAGTTTTGTGTGGACAACTTGACTTATTAGAACTGGACTCTGGCAACCTATGCTTGTCATTAGGGGAAAATTGCTGAGTGCGGCGTCAAACAACAAACAAGCAGACATCCAACAGATATCCAGCAGACACCAAGCAGACATCCAATAGACACCAAGCAGACACCCAGCAGACACTCAGCAGACATCCAGTAGACACCCAGCAGACATCCAGTAGACAACCACTGGACATCCAGTAGACACCCAGTACACATCCAGTCAACACCCATCAGACATCCAGCAGACACTCACCAGGGACCCAGCACACATCCAGCAGACATCCAGCAGACATCCAGCAGACATCCAGCAGACATCCAGCAGACATCCAGTAGACACTCACCAGGGACCCACCAGACATCCAGTAGACATCCAGTAGACACCCAGCAGACATCCAGTAGACATCCAGCAGACATCCAGCAGACATCCAGCAGACACTCACCAGGGACCCAGCAGACATCCAGTAGACATCCAGCAGACATCCAGCAGACATCCAGTAGACATCCAGTAGACATCCAGCAGACATCCAGCAGACATCCAGTAGACATCCAGTAGACACTCACCAGGGACCAAGCAAACATCCAGTAGACATCCAGTAGACATCCAGTAGACACTCACCAGGGACCCAGCAGACATCCAGTAGACATCCAGTAGACACCCAGCAGACATCCAGTAGACATCCAGTAGACATCCAGCAGACATCCAGCAGACATCCAGCAGACATCCAGCAGACACTCACCAGGGACCCAGCAGACATCCAGTAGACATCCAGTAGACATCCAGCAGACATCCAGCAGACATCCAGCACACATCCAGTAGACATCCAGCAGACATCCAGTAGACATCCAGCACACATCCAGCAGACACTCACCAGGGACCCAGCAGACATCCAGCAGACATCCAGTAGACATCCAGTAGACATCCAGCACACATCCAGCAGACACTCACCAGGGACCCAGCAGACATCCAGTAGACATCCAGCAGACATCCAGCAGACATCCAGCAGACACTCACCAGGGACCCAGTAGACATCCAGCACACATCCAGCAGACATCCAGTAGACATCCAGCAGACATCCAGCAGACATCCAGCAGACACTCACCAGGGACCCAGCAGACATCCAGTAGACATCCAGCAGACATCCAGCAGACATCCAGCAGACACTCACCAGGGACCCAGTAGACATCCAGCACACATCCAGCAGACATCCAGTAGACATCCAGCACACATCCAGCAGACATCCAGTAGACATCCAGCAGACATCCAGTAGTCATCCAGCAGACATCCAGCAGACACTCACCAGGGACCCAGCAGACATCCAGCACACATCCAGCAGACATCCAGCAGACACTCACCAGGGACCCAGCAGACATCCAGCAGACATCCAGCAGACATCCAGCAGACATCCAGCAGACATCCAGTAGACATCCAGTAGACACTCACCAGGGACCCAGCAGACATCCAGCAGACACCCAGCAGACACTCACCAGGGACCCAGTAGACATCCAGCAGACATCCAGCAGACATCCAGCAGACACTCACCAGGGACCCAGCAGACATCCAGCAGACATCCAGCAGACATCCAGTAGACATCCAGTAGACATCCAGCAGACATCCAGCAGACATCCAGTAGACATCCAGCAGACATCCAGTAGACATCCAGCAGACATCCAGCAGACATCCAGCAGACATCCAGCAGACACTCACCAGGGACCCAGCAGACATCCAGTAGACATCCAGTAGACACTCAGCAGACATCCAGCAGACATCCAGTAGACATCCAGCAGACATCCAGTAGACATCCAGCAGACATCCAGCAGACATCCAGCAGACATCCAGCAGACACTCACCAGGGACCCAGCAGACATCCAGTAGACATCCAGCAGACATCCAGTAGACATCCAGCAGACATCCAGCAGACATCCAGCAGACATCCAGTATACACTCAGCAGACATCCAGTAGACATCCAGTAAACACTCAGCAGACATCCAGTAGACATCCAGCAGACATCCAGCAGACATCTAGCAGACATCCAGCAGACATCTAGCAGACATCCAGCAGACATCCAGCAGACATCTAGCAGACATCCAGTAGACATCCAGCAGACATCCAGCAGACATCCAGTAGACATCATGCAGACATCCAGCAGACATCTAGCAGACATCCAGTAGACATCCAGTAAACACTCAGCAGACATCCAGTAGACATCCAGTAAACACTCAGCAGACATCCAGTAGACATCCAGTAGACATCCAGCAGACATCCAGCAGACATCCACCAGACATCCAGTAAACACTCAGCAGACATCCAGTAGACATCCAGTAAACACTCAGCAGACATCCAGTAGACATCCAGAAGACACCCAGCAGACATCCAGCAGACATCCAGCAGACATCCAGTAGACATCCAGTAGACACCCAGCAGGCATCCAGCAGACATCCAGCAGACATCCAGCAGACACCCAGTAAACACTCAGCAGACATCCAGTAGACATCCAGTAAACACTCAGCAGACATCCAGTAGACATCCAGTAAACACTCAGCAGACATCCAGTAGACATCCAGTAAACACTCAGCAGACATCCAGTAGACATCCAGTAAACACTCAGCAGACATCCAGTAGACATCCAGTAGACACCCAGCAGACATCAAGCAGACATCCAGTAGACATCCAGTAAACACTCAGCAGACATCCAGTAGACATCCAGCAGACATCCAGTAGACATCCAGTAGACACCCAGCAGACATCCAGCAGACATCCAGCAGACATCCAGTAGACATCCAGTAAACACTCAGCAGACATCCAGCAGACATCCAGTAGACATCCAGTAAACACTCAGTAGACATCCAGCAGACATCCAGTAAACACTCAGCAGACATCCAGTAGACATCCAGTAAACACTCAGCAGACATCCAGTAGACATCCAGTAGACACCCAGCAAACATCCAGCAGACATCCAGTAGACATCCAGTAAACACTCAGCAGACATCCAGTAGACATCCAGTAAACACTCAGCAGACATCCAGTAGACACTCACCAGACATCCAGTAGACACCCAGCAGACATCCAGCAGACATCCAGTAGACATCCAGTAGACACTCAGCAGACATCCAATAGACACTCACCAGACATCCTGTAGACACCCAGCAGACATCCAGCAGACATCCAGCAGACATCCAGTAAACACTCCCCAGACATCCAGTAGACACCCAGCAGACATCCAGCAGACATCCAGCACACATCCAGTAAACACTCAGCAGACATCCAGTAGACATCCAGTAAACACTCAGCAGACATCCAGTAGACTTCCAGTAAACACCCAGCAGACATCCAGCAGACATCCAGCAGACACCCAGTAGACACTCAGCAGACATCCAGTAGACACCCAGCAGACATCCAGCAGACATCCAGTAGACACTCACCAGACATCCAGTAGACATCCAGCAGACATCCAGCACACATCCACCAGACATCCACCAGACATCCAGTAAACACTCAGCAGACATCCAGTAGACATCCAGTAAACATCCAGCAGACATCCAGTAAAGACTCACCAGACATCCAGTAGACATCCAGTAGACATCCAGTAAACACTCACCAGACATCCAGTAGACATCCAGTAGACATCCAGTAAACATCCACCAGACATCCAGTAAACACTCAGCAGACATCCAGTAAAGACTCACCAGACATCCAGTAGACATCCAGTAGACATCCAGTAGACATCCAGTAAACACTCAGCAGACATCCAGTAGACATCCAGTAGACACCCAGCAGACATCCAGCAGACATCCAGCAGACATCAAGTAGACAACCAGTAAACACTCAGCAGACATCCAGTAGACATCCAGTAAACACTCAGCAGAAATCCAGTAGACATCCAGTAGACACCCAGCAGACATCCAGCAGACATCCAGTAGACATCCAGTAGACACTCAGCAGACATCCAGTAGACATCCAGTAAAGACTCAGCAGACATCCAGTAGACATCCAGTAAACATCCAGCAGACAACCAGTAAACACTCAGCAGACATCCAGTAGACATCCAGTAGACACCCAGCAGACATCCAGCAGACATCCAGTAGACACCCAGCTTTGTCAGCACAACTACCGTAATTTCGTTTCGATACATTTCGCTTTTTGTATCTTCCCTTCCCATGACGTCACATCCGATTTTGCAGATGGAGAAATGCGGAAGTGGATGAAATGGCATCTCTGCGGGATGTGAGAGTGGAGGAGACTTTACGAGTTAAAATCGGTGAGATATTCGCTTTTAGTAGATTAAGCAAGTGTGTTGGGTTACTCGTCTTAGCGACTGAGCCGTTGTCATTCCGATGTCGACTACCGGTGCCCGCCAACTCCACCCTCTCCAAACCCCACATTTAAATTAAATGCTCACATTAAATGTCATTGTGGTGGATTTTACCACATTTGTCATGTCATTTCTAGGTGTATATCTGCTATACATGCATCTTCACACGCTATTGCTTTGGCAAGTTGCACAGGCTCAGGTACAGCGGCATTACCTGTTACTCTGTTATTTCATTGACAAAGAATGGAAGCGGTGTTCAAACTTTGCCCAAACTTTTAAATGTTCAGATCAACTCAGATTGTGGGTTGTAAAGGGGATTGTGGAAAATAAGCGTCATCAAACATCATGACACGATATGTTTTAGCTTCTCTAATACTCATCAACTCTACAAGTGATACACATAAAAGGAGAACTTATGGATGTCATAATAAAGAAGATGACATCAATACATTCTCTTCCATCATGTCCATATTTGTTGAGCCGGGGCATTATGTCTCGAATCGTATGTGACAGGTACCCTGGACCTATTTGCGACTAGTCCGATTTGAAAAGTGTGACACTGAAAATAGGCATTCAGTGAGGATGCAAAGTGAGAGAGTCACCATGCTGACTGATGAGACGGATGGGGATGGTGACATCACTTCCTATATAACAAAGCTGCGGAGGCAAATATATCCATCAGGCTTATGATAGAAAAGGGATGTAACCAGAATAAAATTAATCACACATTGGATTTTTGAGGATGTTCGTGACCTTGCTGATGAGCAAAACATGCACACACGCACACGCACGCAAACATGTACTTGTACATACAAACAGGTGACTGCAGCACAAGAGATCAGTAAAAACTAATTAGCCATATAATGGGTCAGTGTTTTATCATGTAACAACAATTTTAACCATATTAAATATGCACTAGTGCAAGCCATATTAAAAAAAAAAATCCTATTATATATTTCTACATGTGTGTTTAAATTCTAGTAATTTGTGACTGACTTAATAAGCGAATACGCTGCAACATCTGTAAAGAAACTCAGAACACTTTATTCGCCATGCCACCTCCCTCGTCCCAGCAGTATGTGTATTTTGTCGTTGTTCCTTAGGAGGGGCCCGGGTGGCCCAGTGGTCTCGAACTCCTTGATTCGAAGGAACTAGTGATTGAATCCTGAATGGGATATTTTTAATGCAGTTATTGGGTATGAGGGACCTAACTTGCTGCCAAATTACAACTACAATAATGACTGATGTATAAGATCATCATGATCATCAATCTACTGTTTTGGAAACGTGACTGGGATGATGTTCGGCTAACTGTTTGTTTTGTTGTCTGCAGGTGAAGCCAAGAACCTTTCGACGTCGTCGGTGTCCGGGAGCGGTCGTACCACGGTGTGCACAATACGGATAGACTCAGAGGAGATATACAGGACAGCACCCGTCGAGAAAACACCAAAGTAATTCGATAATTCATACTATGATTCATGATACTGGAGTGGTATGTCACTTATGTGGTTTTGTCTCACATGTCTGGAAGAAACCATCTTCCCAAGGCAAGAGAGTTAACTGACTATAAAAGTCCAGTTTCCACCCTTGCCGAACTAGGCTGGTATTATGGAGTTACATTTTGGCTGGACTAACGAGTCTATGCATAGTCCAATCAACATCGCGCACCGAAATCGAAATCCGGTTCGTAGAGTGTCATGCAGATTTCTGTCGACTGCAGGATTTGCAAAGCATGTGCATCGCTAACTCGTCAACAGATATTTTCTAAATCTTTTCATGTTTTTAATCAAGGTGCTCACGTGATTTGATGCACTTCGCGATGTAAGACTCGTTTTATCACATTATAGATCTTGATTATCGATCAGATCGTCTTGACTGGGCGCCACCGTTTTGTTTGAAACAAATGCAAGTGATACAAGAGGTTGAATCTGATTCGTCAATAGGAGAGACATAGAAAGGACATAACTCGTAATAGCCACTGGTGGCGCTACGATCGAGCCCAGTAATTCCAGCTTTTAAAGTCCGTTAACTCTCTTGCCTCAGGAAGATGGGAAGAAACTGTCCTTGCAGGTTACTATAGGTATTACACGCAGTCAGGTTGTGTGTCATGGCTAATGGTTATTGCTGGAATGTTGCTAAAAAAAAGCTTGAAACTTTACTCACTCACCTATATACTGTAAATTTGGAAAGTTTGGTGCCATGAATTATTACTTGTGGCTAACAATAGCCTTGTATGCATCTGGAAAGTTGTGCCGCCCCTGTTAAGATTATCAAAGATCAAAGCTACTTTTGCATGTGTTGTGTTTGTATACCGTTAAGTAGGGAGTGTCATGCAATGGTAACTCAGTGTCAGGCAGTGATGTATTTATGCTACGTATGCATGTGTTGGTGTTGGAGTGGCGTGTTTATCTGACAGTACAGACTGGCTGGCGTATGTCTGCACTAGTGTTATGTAAGCAACTTGATGAGATTGGCAGGTTTGTCAACTTTTCTCATTGGACTAGTATTGACACTGAGTGACAATGTGTCATTAAGGTAACACACGATGTGAGGGAGTGTTTATTTAATCATGCACTGAATGATTCGCCAATGTGTGTAAGTGAGTAAAAGACATATGCTGCCTTATGGTTGTTTTTGTTATTGTTGGTCTAAAATAAATAACTGTGTCATGTTGCTATTGCGAGTGTGTCTCACTCACAGTTTTTGCTGTACTTTCCTGCTCACAAAACTTTCCAGGTTTATGGCACATGATCTATAGGGAGTGAGTGAGTATGATCTTACATCGCTTTAAGCAATATTCCAGTAATATTGCGGCAGGAGACACCAGAAGTTGGCTTCACACTTTGTAACCATGTGGGCAATTGAACCAAGGTCTTTGGCATGACGAGCCACTAGGCTACCTCACCGCCCACATGATATGTAGACGTATGATTGATACACTATATACACATTAGTTATGGGCATTGGCCTGACTTCCGTATTGCAATAATGATTCATGTATTGTGATATGGACCACAATACTTCACATGCGTTATTTCACCTGAACCTGAACACATAATAAAAAAAACATATTTATAAGTTTATTATCATGCAGTGTTTTACCTGTATATCAGTAATATTGACTACCCCTAATATACATGATATATAGAAGAATAACAGGTGCTGTTTATATTACCTCCATGTCATAATCTTGAGATCTGATTGGTTCATGGGATCTTGATGAAACACTGCATACTGACTCGGGAGGAAATGAATTTTTGGCAGGAGAATAAATCTCTTATCCCCCGCCACGTAGATATCAGGCTACACATGGATTTCTGAGTGCGAGATGTGACTGATATGACCGGAAGCTCATACACTGCTCCTGTACGTCATTTCAGCCCTTTCTATGGAGCAGAGTTTCATGGCGACATCCCCATCAAGTTCCGCTTCCTGTCCTTCTACGTGTGTGACTCGGGTGGCAAAACAGAAAAGGTGAGACTCTAGTAGTCTACTTGGGGTGTATCAACACCTGCTCACAGGCCCACAGTCAGCTTCAAGCTTAGTACTTCAGTTCATGTCCATACATATACTGTTACTGTTAGGGCTGGATGTTTTCTTTCATCTGTGATTTGTTATGATCCTGAACAAAAATAGGCCCATACTTCAAACCTCCCCCGGACATTTTCTACAACTTTGTTCGCCACTTTGATGGACGTTGCTATGGTCACAACACATATAAAAGCACATTTCAAACAGGAAGCTGGTTGCAAATAGTTTCGCCTTTTTGATCTCAGGAATGAAGCTGCTAACTTCTGAATTTCAAAATTCCATTTTGACTTGTCACTTCTATAAACTTCGCCAACAAGATGAAAGAATGAATGATTTTGAAAAATGCAATATGTACCAGTATTTTCGAGGTGTATTTTTAGGGCTGGCTATAAAAAGGTCAATAATCGGAATTATCGCCAATTAGAAGAAATATTAACAATTATCTATATGAAAGTGTTGTCATCAATAATAACTTACATGAGCTAATGTGATGAAAGAAAGTTAAGATTTACCTAAACAGACTTGTTATTATCAATAATGTCAATCGTGAAGGACGGAAAGCAAATGTTTTTGTTATATCGCACAGTCCACAAAGTACATGAAGTAAGCCATGCATCAATGTGTCAGTGCTCACCAGTGGCGTGACATATGTTGATTTGGCTACTTCTGCAATATTTAGCAATAATTGATTGATATTTATTTTAGCAATTATCAATCTCTATAATCTATAACGATAGCAAGCCCTAATATTATACCTTTGTGGAGGTCACTTTTTACTGTTTGCCATAACATTGACAATGAAAGTAAAATGGCTTTCATCTTAGTTTTCGTTTGATGCACTAACTCATGGTCCTAGATAAACTCAGACTTTCTGTCCTGTCAATCTTGTCTATAATGTGACACTGTTCATACGGTTTCATAATTGTTTTCTGCATATTGACTTTGTACTACCGTCTTGACCCATATCTAAATAAACAGGATAAGATCCATCAGACCACAAATATACTGCTGAAGTATCAGTGTGTCAGGTAGAGTGTCTGGGCCTGCTTTGGTTGTAATATGATACAGGTTGTGTGTGAGTTGTTGCACCAGACATCAGCCAAGCAGGCTTAACCTTGCACACCTGTCAATCAAGTCAGCTGTTGCCTACTCACATACAGGTGCTTGTCAATCAACCTGTCGGCTGTCGCCACGGAGATGGATTTGTTAAAGTCATGATCTAAGCCCTTTTGTGTGGTATTGATATGTACTGCATACCTGTTAGTTTCATATGTTGTAATTGGGTGTGGTTATAATTAAATACAAATTTTGTTTGTGAGAAGATATCTTTGAAGCATTACTCCTCGCTAAAACATAAGCAACATTTGTTTATAACTCTCAAATGATGCAACCACAAACCAAAGTATGTGAACTCAAATAGAAAAAAAGGTCATGTGACACTAGAGTCCTTGTTGTTTAGGCAATTCAATTTGATGTGTTGTCTCCCTTGTGTGTATCAGGATAAGATGACCATGGATTCCAATCCTCGATTCAGCCTGGTTATGTGCCTAGGTTTATCAACCATACCCATGGGTTTTACCAAAGTTGGTACCATGTTGCTTCACTGCAAGCTCTCCTTGCTCATTAAGCTTGGACACTGTGATCAGGGTGGTATGACTGAACTTCAGGTCGAGGTGGAGTGAAACCCATCTCACTCACTCAGTAAACTCACCTGAGCAGTGACCTTGGCTACTTCCTGGAGTGCCTACCCTGGCTAAGCCAGAGAGCAACATTCTTCCAACATTCTTCACATAGACAGCCATGTTGGAATGTTTGCTATGTCTGCCTGCAGGTTCTTGGCAAGGTGACTCTGAAGAAGGAAGAGCTGTACAAGTTCTACAACAAAGACCACTGGTTCTCTCTCACCCCTGCAGACCTAGATGCCGCCGTCAAGGTAAGCACCTGGTTCTCTCTCACCCCTGCAGACCTAGATGCCGCCGTCAAGGTAAGCACCTGGTTCTCTCTCACCCATGCAGACATAGATGATGCTGTCAAGGTAAGCACCTGGTTCTCTCTCATCCCTGCAGACCTAGATGATGCTGTCAAGGTAAGCACCTGGTTCTCTCTCACCCCTGCAGACCTAGATGCCGCCGTCAAGGTAAGCACCTGGTTCTCTCTCACCCCTGCAGACCTAGATGCTGCTGTCAAGGTAAGCACCTGGTTCTCTCTCACCCCTGCAGACCTAGATGCTGCTGTCAAGGTAAGCACCTGGTTCTCTCTCACCCCTGCAGACCTAGATGCCGCTGTCAAGGTAAGCACCTGGTTCTCTCTCACCCCTGCAGACCTAGATGCCGCTGTCAAGGTAAGCACCTGTTTCTCTCTCACCCCTGCAGACCTAGATGCCGCTGTCAAGGTAAGCACCTGGTTCTCTCTCACCCCTGCAGACATAGATGCCACCATCAAGGTAAGCACCTGGTTCTCTCTCATCCCTGCAGACCTAGATGATGCTGTCAAGGTAAGCACCTGGTTCACTCTCACCCATGCAGACATAGATGATGCTGTCAAGGTAAGCACCTGGTTCTCTCTCATCCCTGCAGACCTAGATGATGCTGTCAAGGTAAGCACCTGGTTCTCTCTCATCCCTGCAGACCTAGATGCTGCTGTCAAGGTAAGCGCCTGGTTCTCTCATCCCTGCAGACCTAGATGCCGCTGTCAAGGTAAGCACCTGGTTCTCTCATCCCTGCAGACCTAGATGCTGCTGTCAAGGTAAGCACCTGGTTCTCTCTCACCCCTGCAGACCTAGATGCTGCTGTCAAGGTAAGCACCTGGTTCTCTCTCACCCCTGCAGACCTAGATGCCGCTGTCAAGGTAAGCACCTGGTTCTCTCTCGCCCCTGCAGACCTAGATGCCGCTGTCAAGGTAAGCACCTGGTTCTCTCTCACCCCTGCAGACCTAGATGCCGCTGTCAAGGTAAGCACCTGGTTCTCTCTCACCCCTGCAGACATAGATGCCACCATCAAGGTAAGCACCTGGTTCTCTCTCATCCCTGCAGACCTAGATGATGCTGTCAAGGTAAGCACCTGGTTCACTCTCACCCATGCAGACATAGATGATGCTGTCAAGGTAAGCACCTGGTTCTCTCTCATCCCTGCAGACCTAGATGATGCTGTCAAGGTAAGCACCTGGTTCTCTCTCATCCCTGCAGACCTAGATGCTGCTGTCAAGGTAAGCGCCTGGTTCTCTCATCCCTGCAGACCTAGATGCCGCTGTCAAGGTAAGCACCTGGTTCTCTCATCCCTGCAGACCTAGATGCTGCTGTCAAGGTAAGCACCTGGTTCTCTCATCCCCGCAGACCTAGATGCTGCTGTCAAGGTAAGCACCTGGTTCTCTCTTACCCCTGCAGACCTAGATGCTGCTGTCAAGGTAAGCACCTGGTTCTCTCATCCCTGCAGACCTAGATGCTGCTGTCAAGGTAAGCACCTGGTTCTCTCTCATCCCTGCAGACCTAGATGCCTCTGTCAAGGTAAGCACCTGGTTCTCTCTCACCCCTGCAGACCTAGATGCTGCTGTCAAGGTAAGCACCTGGTTCTCTCTCATCCCTGCAGAACTAGATGCCTCTGTCAAGGTAAGCACCTGGTTCACTCTCACCCCTGCAGACCTAGATGCCGCCGTCAAGGTAAGCACCTGGTTCTCTCTCACCCCTGCAGACCTTGATGCCGCTGTCAAGGTTAGCACCTGGTTCTCTCTCACCCCTGCAGACCTAGATGCCGCTGTCAAGGTAAGCACCTGGTTCTCTCTCACCCCTGCAGATCTAGATGCTGCTGTCAAGGTAAGCACCTGGTTCTCTCTCACCCCTGCAGACCTAGATGCCGCTGTCAAGGTAAGCACCTGGTTCACTCTCACCCCTGCAGACCTAGATGCCGCTGTCAAGGTAAGCACCTGGTTCTCTCTCGCCCCTGCAGACCTAGATGCCGCTGTCAAGGTAAGCACCTGGTTCTCTCTCGCCCCTGCAGACCTAGATGCCGCTGTCAAGGTAAGCACCTGGTTCTCTCTCATCCCTGCAGACTATGATGCCACCGTCAAGGTAAGCACCTGTATTCTGTGTTAAATGCTGATGTCAAATTAAGCACCTGTGTTCTGTGCGAGATGCTAAATGTGAAGTTTTACATAAATGAATAAAGAATGTTTTAGCCTGAAATGGGGTTTTCCCCATTGGCTGGTGTCATTGTGAGCATATATGCAGATAGCTACTGGTCGATATAAACTTACGTGAACAATTATGGTATGTGGTCATTTGACCTTGGGAGTTTCTGAACTTCCATGTGAGACTTTCATCATTTGTAGATTGATATATGCTGCATCAATCGCCTGTGTTGACTAAACTAGAACCTCTGTCCTCCAGGGCAAGATCAACATCGAGGTCAGGTTTGATGAATACCTCAGCACGGAGCCCGAGTCCTGCCCTACTCACAGGATGGCTGTCAGGTACACTTGTCACTGGCACACCACTGCCCTGTTCTATAACACGATCTTAGCCCTACATTCACAGGATGGCTGTCAGGTACACTTGTCACTGACACACCACTGCCCTGTTCTGTAACACGATCTTAGTCCTACATTCACAGGATGGCTGTCAGGTACACTTGTCACTGGCACACCACTGCCCTGTTCTATAACACGATCTTAGTCCTACATTCACAGGATGGCTGTCAGGTACACTTGTCACTGGCACACCACTGCCCTGTTCTATAACACGATCTTAGCCCTACATTCACAGGATGGCTGTCAGGTACACTTGTCACTGACACACCACTGCCCTGTTCTGTAACACGATCTTAGCCCTACATTCACAGGATGGCTGTCAGGTACACTTGTCACTGACACACCACTGCCCTGTTCTGTAACACGATCTTAGTCCTACATTCACAGTATGGCTGTCAGGTACACTTGTCACTGGCACACCACTGCCCTGTTCTGTAACACGATCTTAGTCCTACATTCACAGGATGGCTGTCAGGTACACTTGTCACTGGCACACCACTGCCCTGTTCTGTAACACGATCTTAGCCCTACATTCACAGGATGGCTGTCAGGTACACTTGTCACTGGCACACCACTGCCCTGTTCTATAACACGATCTTAGTCCTACATTCACAGTATGGCTGTCAGGTACACTTGTCACTGACACACCACTGCCCTGTTCTATAACACGATCTTAGCCCTACATTCACAGGATGGCTGTCACTGTCAGGTACACTTGTCACTGGCACGTCACTGCCCTGTTCTATAACACGATCTTAGCCCTACATTCACAGGATGGCTGTCAGGTACACTTGTCACTGACACACCACTGCCCTGTTCTGTAACACGATCTTAGCCCTACATGCACAGGATGGCTGTCAGGTACACTTGTCACTGGCACACCACTGCCCTGTTCTATAACACGATCTTAGCCCTACATTCACAGGATGGCTGTCAGGTACACTTGTCACTGGCACACCACTGCCCTGTTCTATAACACGATCTTAGCCCTACATTCACAGGATGGCTGTCAGGTACACTTGTCACTGGCACACCACTGCCCTGTTCTATAACACGATCTTAGCCCTACATTCACAGGATGGCTGTCAGGTACACTTGTCACTGGCACACCACTGCCCTGTTCTATAACACGATCTTAGCCCTACATTCACAGGATGGCTGTCAGGTACACTTGTCACTGGCACACCACTGTCCTGTTCTTTAACACGATCTTAGTCCTACGTTCACAGGATGCCTGCCACTGTCAGGCATACACATGTCACTGGCACACCACTGCCCTGTTCTATAACACGATCTTAGCCCTACATTCACAGGATGGCTGTCAGGTACCCCTGTATGAACTGACTATACCTGTATATCTGCTGTCCCGTACCCTTGTATGAACTGACTATACCAGTATATCTGCTGCCTGGTACCCCTGTATGAACTGACTATACCAGTATATCTGCTGCAGGTACCCCTGTATGAACTGACTTTACCGGTATATATGCTGCCTGGTACCCCTGTATGAACTGACTATACCGGTATATCTGCTGCCGGGTACCCCTGTATGAACTGACTATACCGGTATATATGCTGCCCAGTACCCCCGTATGAACTGACTATACTGGTATATCTGCTGCCTGAACCCCTGTATGAACTGACTATACCTGTATATCTGCTGCCGGGTACCCCTGTTTGAACTGACTATACCGGTATATATGCTGCCTGGTACCCCTGTATGAACTGACTATACCGGTATATCTGCTGCCGGGTACCCCTGTATGAACTGACTATACCGGTATATATGCTGCCCAGTACCCCCGTATGAACTGACTATACCGGTATATCTGCTGCCTGAACCCCTGTATGAACTGACTATACTGGTATATCTGCTGCCGGGTACCCCTGTATGAACTACTGACTATACCGGTATATATGCTGCCTGGTACCCCTGTATGAACTGACTATACTGGTATATCTGCTGCCTGAACCCCTGTATGAACTGACTATACCGGTATATCTGCTGCCTGGTACCCCTGTATGAACTGACTATACTGGTATATCTGCTGCCTGGTACCCCTGTATGAACTGACTATACTAGTATATCTGCTGCCTGGTACCCCTGTATGAACTGTCTATGCCGGTATATCTGCTGCCTGGTACCCCTGTATGAACTGACTATACCGGTATATATGCTGCCCGGTACCCCCATATGAACTGACTATACTAGTATATCTGCTGCCTGGTACCCCTGTATGAACTGACTATACTGGTATATATGCTGCCTGGTACCCCTGTATGAACTGACTATACTAGTATATCTGCTGCCGGGTACCCCTGTATGAACTGACTATACCGGTATATATGCTGCCCGGTACCCCCGTATGAACTGACTATACCGGTATATCTGCTGCCAGGTACCCCTGTATGAACTGACTATACCGGTATATCTGCTGCCAGGTACCCCTGTATGAACTGACTATACCAGTATATCTGCTGCCCGGTACCCCTGTATGAACTGACTATACTGGTATATCTGCTGCCCGGTACCCCTGTATGAACTGACTATACCGGTATATCTGCTGCCGGGTACCCCGTATGAACTGACTATATCGGTATATATGCTGCCGGGTACCCCGTATGAACTGACTATACCGGTATATCTGCTGCCGGGTACCCCGTATGAACTGACTATACCGGTATATCTGCTGCCGGGTACCCTGTATGAACTGACTATACCGGTATATCTGCTGCCGGGTACCCCGTATGAACTGACTATATCGGTATATCTGCTGCCGGGTACCCTGTATGAACTGACTATACCGGTATATCTGCTGCCGGGTACCCCTGTATGAACTGACTATACTGGTATATCTGCTGCCGGGTACCCCGTATGAACTGACTATACTGGTATATCTCCTGCAGGGTGGTCGAGTGCAGCAACTTGACCGTCATCAACGGCGCCTGCAACCCCTACGTGGTGGTCACTCTCAACCCCAAGTCCCGTCACAAGGAGATCAGGAGGACTGTCGTCAAGAAGAAAACCATCTGCCCACATTATGATGAAACTTTCTTTTTTGATGTGAGTTGAGGTTGTGTGTGTAGACAGTCAGGGTGAGCGGTATAACCGGAATACCGCGATTTGAAATGTTAATGAATACATATCACAAAAACGGAAAATACCGATACATATTGCATTTGTCAAAATCATGCATTTTTTTCACCTTGTTGGCAAAGTTTGTATCAGTGACAATTCTAACTGGAATTATGACATTCAGAAGTAAGCAGCTTGATTCCTGTGATGGAAAGAGCCAAACTATAGTCCATCAGAATGGCGAACAAAGTTGTAGAAAATGTGAGGGTCGAAGTGTGGGTCGATTTCTTATTCAGGCTCATGACAAATTACAGATGAAAGAAAACATGTAATATATGGTTGAACGCTCCACAATACATGAGTTGTTATTGCAGTAAATTGCAACAGTTTTGGGTACCATTGATTGTTCCCAATACTTAGGAAATATCTATTTTTTTCCCAAATCTAGAGATGAGATACCATATATTTTTTTAGTATTGTGTGCACTTTTTTCCCCAAAAACATAGCTGTGTAGAAGGGGGTGTGCATTATACACGCCGTAATGAGTTTTGATGTTTTTTTCACCCAACGCAAAGACATTACCGTGAGCACGTAACACCAGAATTACCGGCTTAGTTTATGAGAACATACACAAGGTAATCTTAATCCCTGCATGTAAAAAATGCCTAGCAGAACAACAAATACTATTTAAACGATAAACAACATGTCTGGTGATTTTTTATCTTAAATTTCAAATTTGAACTGACCAAGTTTCTTGTCACCCTTTCGTTTACCCGAATTCGCTGAAGGGGTACAGTGTAATTTTTTTCTCCACATAATATTCAATTTAATTTTTTTCCAAAATACTGAATCTGCTAGAGGGGGGTGCGCATTATACCTGTGAGTGCACTATACTCAAGAAAATATGGTACCTGAATCACTAAATATTTTTTCAGTGTTTTCCAAATTGAATCAAGAAAGTGGTATTCTTCAGGTGCATTTAGACATTTTGTACCAAGCTGAGCTAACAATACCATTCAGAAACAAAGAGGTGTGGGATATTGTTCTTTCTACAGCACTTTTCTTACTTCACCAACTTGACTGACATTAAAATCTGCTGACACTGCAGATTTCATGTTGCTGTAGAATCTGCCATGTAGCATGGTACCTTGTAGTGTTATTCACCTATTTTCATAATATCAGGGGCGGTGGGGTAACCTAGTGGTTAAAGCGTTCGCTTGTCACGCCGAAGACCCAGGTTCGATTCCCGACATGGGTACAATATGGGAAAACCATTTCTGGTGTCCCTGCCCTGATATTGCTGGAATATTGCTAAAAGTGGCGTAAAACCATACTCACTCACTCACTCACTCACTCATAATATCAACTCAGGGAAAGATGCAACAACTTCCACACATTCACTACCCAGTGTAAAATTAGGATTATGAGATTTGGTTTATGTTACCATGGTTACCCTATACATGTGTGACATCAGCTTATGATCCAATGTGTTGCCACACCCGTTCTTTCATCCATCTGCCCATCCATCCATCACATTTTGTTTCTGGAGCAGAACTATCTTAATCAAACTTGGTACGTAGATAGGTCTAATGGTGAACTTATGTCTTTTGATTGTTTGGTATTTTGGAAACGATTATTTTTCAAGCTTCCATTGCAATGACTTTGATTTAGACTGAAAATGGCGGTAGTGCTCGTTTCCAGACTAGACCTTAAAAACCGTACAATATTTCTTCCCTTGCATACAACTGGACATGTCATACTGGCGGGGGACTTGAGTATTTCATGCTTGTTGTTGTTGCAGCTGGAGAACAAGGGACAGAACCACGACAGGAAGCTGTACTGCTTTGAAGATGCCTTCAGTGGAGATCTGAGGTAATGTAAAACCGACAGGAGTCACTGGACACTTCTACCAGTGGTCGAAAGCATGAGCATCGATCATGCCTTGATTCCTAGCACAATGCCATGCATTCACCAGGGGGCAGATGGTTCTGTAGGAAGGATGGTCATTGTCATGATGTAAATAAGTTAAACAGTGTTATGATATACGTCTGATAATATAGATCAATGTGCAATATCATTTATTTGCACTGACATTCCTCAAATACATATCCCAGGCTGTCCCTCTTAACGTATGAGCTCCAGTTCTTTAAACTTCTTTAATTAAGACTTGACTTCAATCTGTTTTGGGTTTATGCAAAGTGTGCACACCGGTGTTATTTAGTTTATTCTTCAAAATATGTTGTACGCAAAAATATTTTAGTTGAGCTCTAATAATTATCTATGGGTAAGTCAACAATTGTAACTCCACAGAATGCTTATTTAGTCATTAACACAAAAAACAGTGATTATGCCAAATCAATGACATCATTCAGTTCTATGATGCCACACAAGCCCTGCCAACTCTGTTATCAACCAATCAGGACACAAAAGTCCGCTAGTGGGTGCAGCCTAATCTTTTCAGGTGTATGTTTCATAAATGCCAAAAAATTGCTTGGTTTAAGAATTGACTTTCACTTTGTGGGAGTTCCTTGTAGTTTGAACCTGCATAGAGTGAATCCCTAGCAGATTGAACGTCAGAGCTTGCGACATCGTTCATACAGTGTTTGGAAAATGGAAAAAACGTATTTTGTGTAAACTTTACATTAAGAAAAAATTATGAGCCAATAAAATTTGTTGGGATTTATTATTTGCTAAAGACCAACATAATTCTCTCTTATTACGCCTATTATATGCCCCGATGCCTATGGTAGGCCTACAGTATATCCTATGTTTTCAGTATATCCGTGTGGCACGATGACTCCCTTGTGTCCCGAGAGGTCCTGGGCAATATATTCCGTGGATCTTTCCTGGGGGAGGTGAAGATTCCGCTCCACGGTCTGGACACCAACTTTCCCCATAGTGCCTGGTAGGTGTCACTCGGTAACCATGGTAACTGTAGAGTCAGGGGTGATTGTAATCCTGATGACTGGGTTGCCTACAACAAAGCATGCTGATGTAATTGATTGAAGTCTGCCTGACAAACTACTCACGGACTGTTCGTCCAAATGTATGTCAGTGATGTTCTCAACATAAGAACACATTTTCAGCTTACTCGTGTGTCTGACACGCATTGTAGACTCCATATTAACTATCCGGCATGCTTGCACTCGTCCCTATTGGCTGTTTACATACATGTGCTGTAGTTCTCAACCCTTACTGTTCCAAGTTGGTTAATCGTCACTCTCCTCTTTCTGTGTGAAGCACGCAGCGTAATAGGATGCAGCAGTAATCTCCCTTGGCCTTGTCAGTGCATCAAACACTGTTTGCAGAAGGACTGTTTTGGTCTGCGGTGACACCATTTTTGATGCTGTATTGTGGAAGTGACTGCATGCTTTCCATTTCGGAAGGAGTTATATCGCCCAGCTGTACGTTTGCACGATCAATCACGCTCCTGAACACGCCTCTCAGGTCAACCACGCCGCTTCAGAAACCATTTGGGGTGGTCAAAGCGTTTGCTTGTCACGCCAAACCAAACTCACTAACTCAGACACCATTTGGTATACTGCTTGTGTAAAGGGTTTTCATATGATCATTGAAATATTGTTGATCATATCCTCCTATAATATTCCTAACCTAAGGGGGGCTTCTGTACCGCTGGTCCTTCAGTGTCACTGTATTACCCCTGACAGGTACAGCCTACAGGCCAGGGAGAGTTTACGCCAGACCTCGGCCAACCTGGGCTCTCTCCGTCTCAACATCTCCTACACTGCCGACTACGTGTTCCTGTCTCACTACTACAACGATCTCCGGTCTCTGCTTCTCCACTCAATAGACGTCCAGGTGAGTACCCCTCTCTGTGTGCTGCTTCAGTCTGCCGACTTGTGTCCATCGTGCAAGAATCTGATCATCATGGATATAAATCCAAGATTCACCACTACTTAATCGGCACTACTTTATTTGACACTACATTGTCAGCCCTATTTTATTTTATCAGCACTACTTTATCAGCACTACTTTTAATAGCTCTACTTTTATCGATACTACTTTTATCGGCACTACTTTATTGGCACTACTTTTATCGGCACTATTTTATTGGCACTACTTTATCAGCACTACTTTTATCAGCACTATTTTTGTTAGCTCAACTTTTATCGATACTGCTTTATCTACCCTACTTTTATCAGCACTATTTTTATCAGCACTATTTTTGTTAGTTCAACTTTTAACGATACTACTTTATCAACACTACTTTTATCATCACTACTTTATTGGCACTACAAGCAGCTTCACACACACACACACACACACACACACACACACACACACACACACGTGCATGCACGTCGCAAGGTAAGTGCAAAAATTGTGACATTAGACCACCTTTGACCTCACCTCAGGATGTAGGTAATGGACCGGGTTGCATGGGTTTTGCTGATCTTCTGCTCTTCATTTCATGACGCAGAGTTGGGTCACATTGCCATGACAGGATCCCTTCCTTGGTGATGGGCTTGATTTCCAGATTTTCTTGATAATGAACCTAGTTTGTCAACACAATTGTCTGCTTGTAGAGAAACTCCTATGTCACCCTAGGCCTTCATTCCACATTAAATACTGATCATGGCATTAAAATCAACACACAGATTAAGTTATAGATTTGGTGACAAATAGATTGTTTTATTTTCACCTCATACTTAGCTGAGAACAAAAATACATTCACGTTCAGATTTGCCATTACTTTCTTCAGAAGTGTGGAGTGAATCTGAATTGATGTGACTGGTAACGTGTGTACATGAGTAAGTGACGTTGGTAACAGGTGACTTCGTAACGTGTGTCTTCTGTTTTAGCCCATCTCCTGCACGTCTGTATACCTACTCGGTGAGGTGGTCGAGCACCGCCAGGACGCAGCACAACCTCTAGTCAGAATGTTCCTGAAGCATGGAAAAATAGTCCCCCTAGTCTCCGCTCTTGCCAAATGGGAAATAGAAAAGACGACGTGAGTGCCAAGCAGAGCTCCAGAGCATTGGAGATTTTGCTCTAGTGTTTCTATTTTAATTGGGTTATTACATTTTTCATTGGGTAACCAATGTTTTTTCACTCATCGATTCATCACTTTTTTTGTTTTTTGCCACAACTTAGCGTACATTTTAAGATTTAAAAAAAATTCAATAATGTTTTAAATGTACATACACCGTATATAACTGTTCTAAATATATAGGCTACACTCGGAAAGTTAATAAACTCGTAATTGTGTTTCGGAAATGAGCCTCTTAGTCAGCATGCTGAAAAAGCTTCATTGGGTATTTACGCGTCCAGTTTTTATACATTTGAATTTTTCATTAAATGCTGCTTATCTGGAGCTCTGGTAAAGAACAAACTATATTATACAGGTCATCAGACTCCGTGTCCACCTTCATTGTGTTTGTAATCTAAGTATTCCTACACCAACCATGTGGGAGGCTGCTTTAGATACCAGTCACTGGATTGCCTGGTCCAGACTCAGTTATTTTAAGGCCACCGTCATTTAGCTGGAATATAGTTTGTGAAAAACAAACAAAACAGACAAAGACTTTTATGGGCGTTAGTTTGCAATAATGACTGCGAATGCGACAAATCAAGAGACAAGTTTCAAACAAACTCTGGACTTTGACCTCACTTAGAAAGTTTTATGATCACCAGAGTGAATTAATAGATATCAATAACCTGAATTTTAAGATTCTGGTTCTCAATTCAGACGTATGTGTGTTGAAGTTTTGTAATTCACCTTTATAGAGATGCCAATACTTTCTTCCGTGGGAATACCCTGGTGACGAAGCTGATCGATGAGCTGATGAAACTGGTGGGCCTGCCGTACCTGCACGACACCCTCAAGACCATCATTGACAAGGTCAGGGCATCGCCTGTAGTCAGATGTGTATCACATTTGCATTGTTGCATGCTACTGGTTAGAGGAGCCGACAACTTGTCAAGGTGGACAAAATACACAGAGTTACATACTTGTCAGTAGTAGCTAAAACCAAGGAGTGAAAAGATACATGTTTCTTCTTCTGTGTTGTAATGTGGGCTGCTGATGTTGCAGATATTTGAGGAGAGGAAGCTGTGTGAGGTGGACCCCGGCCGGATGAAGGAAGGGGCTTCACTGGAGGAAAGCATGGTGAGATATCACTTGTACAGCATCACTACTCACCCGTGAACAGATCCTCCTTTTAAGTAAAGTAAACATGTAAACACGAGGGAGATTCCAGACTTCAAAGTGTTTACATTTTCAACCCAAACTAAGTGATAGTGTTTTCTCTGGCTTATAAACCTTCTAAATACAAGAAATACCAGAAAAGTAAGAAAAAATGGAGATACCTTATAGTGAAACAATACAGTGTGTCGCAGCGTGAAAAGAATTTGATCAAAGAATGCGAGAGAAAAACCACATGCAGCATGGACCAACTGGAGTCATGACATGTAAATTGAACAACTTTTCTTCACCTGCCCTGGTGGTTCAGTGGGAAAACAGTGGGTTAAACAACTACACACGGTATGTGAGGTTGCAGGTTCGATTCCCGTCATCCATAATGAAAAAGTTTCATTTCTTGTCTACCATTTTAGAACATTGGATGTTGGAAACACAAAGTCCAAATTTCATCTGCTATACAACTCATCAGGCCTTGCCAGGAAAAAGTTAAACCTCAAACCAGGTCTTACCAGAAAAAAGTAAAACCTCAAACCAGGTCTTACCAGAAAAAAGTAAAACTTCATACCAGGTCTTAACAAGAAAAAGTAAAACTTCATACCAGGTCTTACCAGGAAAAAGTAAAACCTCATACCAGGTCTTACCAGGAAAAAGTAAAACCTCATACCAGGTCTTACCAGAAAAAAGTAAAACCTAATACCAGGTCTTACCAGGAAAAAGTAAAACCTAAACCAGGTCTTACCAGGAAAAAGTAAAACGCCAAAACAGGTTTTACCAGAAAAAAGTAAAACCTCATACCAGGTCTTACCAGGAAAAAATAAAACCTCATACCAGGTCTTACCAGGAAAAAGCAAAACCTCATACCTCCCAAGAGGTTGTTACAAAGTTAAGACAATGGTCAATATCTATGATAGTTTATGATAACAATACAATAACATTAGACATCAGTGTATACATATATATGTTGGAGGCCAGATATTGAAATTCTTTTTCTTCACCTGCCCTGGTGGGTCAGTGGGAAAATAGTGGGTTAAACAACTACACACGGTATGTGAGGTTGCAGGTACGATTCCCGTCATCCATAATGAAAAAGTTTCATTTCTTGTGTACGATTTTAGAACATTGGACGATGAAAACACAAAGTCCAGGTCAGTGTATACAGATATATGTTGGAGGCCAGGTATTGCTAGTGGTGGGACAATACACCAATGTATCGGTGGATCGCAATTCTTTACTTCTCGATACAAGTATCGATCATAGTCGCTCACTGAGTAAAAAGTATTGCTTCTTTCCTTAAATTATTTTTGAATAAGTGTTACACCAAACACTAAGTACTTGTGAAAATGAGCAGTGAAAATGTAAATAGTTTCATCCGTTGCTCCATAGCTGACACTACCAACTGTTAATCATTAGTGTGCCAGGTAGTTGGCAATCCTGGCTATGAAAATGATGGCTTACGCACCACAGATAAGTGCACATGCAAGTATCCCGAAACGTATTGGATCGCGAGCAAGGTATCAGGTGTAGAATCGCACAGTTGGTGTATCGTCCAAGCCCTTGGTATTTGCCTGATTTGGAAAAGTCCAAATGGTTCATGAAACATGTTTTTTTTTTGGGGGGGGGGGAGGTTTTTGGGGAATTCAGTTGGGGATGGGCTGCTTCTGTGTATGCATCTCTCTAGTTGATTGTAACAGCAGATGTGTGAATGTTGGACAGGGTAATCTGAAGGAGTACGTGGTATCCATCGTCGAGGCCATCACCGGGTCTGCACTGGTCTGTCCCACCATCATGAGGGAGGTGTTCCACGCCGTCAAGGAGGCCGCCATGATGCACTATGATGGTAGGTCATATGCAATGTGATGGTAGGTCATATGCAATGTGATGGCAGGGGATATAATGTGAGGTGAAATGGGGTTTAACGTCGCATTCAAGGTTATTGCACTTGATATATAGCGATGTGCATGCAAATGTGTGTGTGTGGCTGCCTGTACTGGTCCAGTCACTCACTCCCTCATTCACTCACTCACTCACTCACTCACTCACTCACTCACTCACCCACCCAAACACCCAAACACCCACTCACTCACTCACTCACTCACTCACTCACTCACCCACCCAAACACCCAACCACCCACTCACTCACTCACTCTCACTCACTCACTCACTCACTCACTCACTCACTCACTCACTCACTCACTCATCCACCCACCCAAACACCCAACCACCCAACCACCCACTCACTCACTCACTCACTCACTCACTCACTCTGCTGATGCTGAAATCAGTCACCCTCTGATTCCAGGCAGTCCAACCATCAAGTACAGGGTCGTCAGCAGTTTCGTCTTCCTCCGATTCTTTGCACCTGCCATCCTAGGGCCAAAACTTTTTGACCTGCGAACGGACACAGCGGTGAGTTCTCTGTACATGCTCTGATAATTTGTCAGTTTTCATCAAGATTATAAGATGATGCAATCAGACTGCATGTCATCAGGTCAAGACAGCGGGGATGATGATGCTGTGTATGTGTTTGACTTTCTATAACTCCGGTGGTGGTGGTGGGGATGGTTGTAGTGATTATAATGATGGTTGAGATGATGATGATGATGATGATGATGATGATGATGCTGTGTATGTGTGTGACTTTCTGTGACTCCTGTACATTATGTTGCAGGACATGCTGGTACATCGAACCCTCACGTTAGTGTCAAAAGTCATCCAAGGCCTTGTCAATCTCATCAGCTCCAACTCTGTGAGTAATAGAAATGTCCCACCGTCTCACAAGCATACACAAGGACAACACATAATCAGTCATGTTGTCAAGCTATGTATCAAATGCAGAATGTCCTGATGTGCAAACATTTCAATTCTTATTAAATTCTATGCATACATCATGTGAGATTTAAGAGAGTTGACTGCCTTTGTTAAAATGGATATCGAGAGACCAATATCCGATATCCGAATCTTAAATCTGTGTTGTGTGGTTGTCTGCAGGTGCCTTTCAATCTGAAGGAAGAATACATGGTGCCTGTGTTCGACTGTCTGTCTGAAGACACACACATGGACGCAGTCCGAATGGTAGGTGTTCCCTGTAGCTAAACGTTACATGTACAAGAACAATGATTCAAGAAATGATTGCATGTACAATATATTCTATAAGCCACCCGAAGAAACAACATTTGTTTGTGTCTAACTGATAAGTATGCTTCTTGGAATCCAGCATTCTTGAACTAAGTATACCTATGATCCTGATAATATACCTGTTACCATGGATACAGTTCCTGGATATTACTTGAATATGTATCCTTGGTAACAGTTCCTAGATATTATGTTGGTATGTTTGGTCATTTTATACCTGTTTCCATGGTTACAGTTCCTAGATATTATGTTGGTATGTTTGGTCATTTTATACCTGTTTCCATGGTTACAGTTCCTAGATATTAAATTAAATAATGATCCTGCCCCTGTTTCAGTTCCTGGATATTGTCTCCTCCAGAACCGGGGCCTACTCAAAGAACATCGAAGCTCCAATAGTACTCAAAGAAGGGTAAGCCAACTGAGTATGCCGATGTTCTTATAATTAGCAGCATTTCATATGATTGCTATGAGGTGTTGCATACAGCACAGTTATTTTGGAGCAGAGAATACTTCTACACTGATTCTCTACTTCCAAATAATTATGCTGTGGGCATTAACTCACACGTTTGAATTGTACCCAACACTAGATAAATTGTTGACAAAACATGAGCCAGGAGACATTGTATTGCTTCTTTGTTGGTGACATTATATATTCACTTATAAGGGAAAGATGGACATTAAGCTGACATGAGTGATGTGACTGCTCAGTGATATACAAAAGGAGATTAAGCCAACTGACTCATTATTGTAGTGATACATTCTACCAACCCAGCTGCTCAGATTGTTTCCAAGTCAAGGTACTCTATGACCTATATGTTGGTGTCTTCCAGGGTTATGATCAAGCGGGCTCAAGGCAGAAACAAGATTGGTCGGAAAAACTTCAAGAGAAGATACTTCTGCCTGACCAACCAGTACCTGTCTTATGCCAAGTCCAAGAGTAAGTCATCCAGTACCTGTCCTATGCCAAGTCCAAGAGTAAGTCATCCAGTACCTGTCCTATGCCAAGTCCTAGAGTAAGTCATACAGTACCTGTCCTATGCCAAGTCCAAGAGTAAGTCATCCAGTACCTGTCCTATGCCAAGTCCTAGAGTAAGTCATACAGTACCTGTCCTATGCCAAGTCCAAGAGTAAGTCAACTTGTACCTGTCCTATGCCAAGTCCTAGAGTAAGTCATACAGTACCTGTCCTATGCCAAGTCCTAGAGTAAGTCATACAGTACCTGCCCTAAGGCCAAGTCCAAGAGTAATTCATCCAGTACTAGTCCTATGCCAAGTCCAAGAGTAAGTCAGTCGGTATGCATTTTACAGAGGAGAAGGTGTTTAACATCTGTATTTATTTGACAGCGGAGAAGCCTCTATGTAGTATTCCAATAGAAGATATCCTGGCTGTGGAACGACTTCAAGAGAATTCCTTCAAAATGAACTATGTGAGTAGTGGTCTTTGATTGAAGAACATTGTCTACCTGTGACTCTATCTCTCTATCTGTGACAATGTGTTTGTCTGTGACTGCCTGTCTATCTGTGACAGTGTCTATCTGTGACTGTGTGTCTTTTTGTCACTGTGTGTCTATCTGTGACTGTGTCTATCAGTGACTTAATCTATCTGTGACTGCCTCTTTATCTGTGACTGTGTCTATCTGTAACAGTGTCTATCTGTAACAGTGTCTATCTGTGACTGTGTCCATCTGTGACTGTGTCCATCTGTGACTGTTGTCTATCTGTAACAGTGTCTATCTGTGACTGTGTCTATCTGTAACAGTGTCTATCTGTGACTGTGTCTATCTGTAACAGTGTCTATCTGTGACTGTGTCTATCTGTAACAGTGTCTATCTGAAACAGTGTCTATCTGTGACTGTGTCTATCTGTAACTGTGTCTATCTGTGACAGTGTCCATCTGTGACTGTTGTCTATCTGTAACAGTGTCTATCTGTAACAGTGTCTATCTGTGACTGTGTCTATCTGTAACAGTGTCTATCTGTAACAGTGTCTATCTGTGACTGTGTCTATCTGTGACTGTGTCTGTCTGTGACTGTTGTCTATCTGTGACTGTGTCTATCTTTGACTGTTGTCTATCTGTAACAGTGTCTATCTGTGATTGTGTCTATCTGTAACAGTGTCTATTTGTGACTGTGTCTATCTGTAACAGTGTCTATCTGTGACTGTGTCTATCTGTAACAGTGTCTATCTGTGACTGTGTCTATCTGTAACAGTGTCTATCTGTGACTGTGTCTATCTGTAACAGTGTCTATCTGAAACAGTGTCTATCTGTGACTGTGTCTATCTGTAACTGTGTCTATCTGTGACAGTGTCCATCTGTGACTGTTGTCTATCTGTAACAGTGTCTATCTGTAACAGTGTCTATCTGTGACTGTGTCTATCTGTAACAGTGTCTATCTGTAACAGTGTCTATCTGTGACTGTGTCTATCTGTGACTGTGTCTGTCTGTGACTGTTGTCTATCTGTGACTGTGTCTATCTTTGACTGTTGTCTATCTGTAACAGTGTCTATCTGTGATTGTGTCTATCTGTAACAGTGTCTATTTGTGACTGTGTCTATCTGTAACAGTGTCTATCTGTGACTGTGTCTATCTGTAACAGTGTCTATCTGTAACAGTGTCTATCTGTAACAGTGTCTATCTGTAACAGTGTCTATCTGTAACAGTGTCTATCTGTGACTGTCTATCTGTAACAGTGTCTATCTGTGACTGTGTCTATCTGTAACAGTGTCTATCTGTGACTGTGTCTATCTGTAACAGTGTCTATCTGTGACTGTCTATCTGTGACTGTGTCTATCTGTGACTGTGTCTATCTGTGACTGGGTCTATCTGTAACAGTGTCTATCTGTGACTGTGTCTATCTGTGCCCATGTCTATCTGTGACTGTCCATCTGTGACTGTGTCTATCTGTGCCTGTGTCTATCTGTGACTGTCTATCTGTGACTGTGTCTATCTGTGACTGTCTATCTGTGACTGTGTCTATCTGTGACTGTCTATCTGTGACTGTGTCTATCTGTGACTGTCTATCTGTGACTGTGTCTATCTGTGACTGTGTCCATCTGTGACCCTGTCCATCTGTGACCGTGTCTATCTGTGACTGTGTATATCTGTGACTGTGTCTATCTGTGACTGTCTATCTGTGACTGTGTCTATCTGTGACTGTGTCTATCTGTAACAGTGTCTATCTGTAACAGTGTCTATCTGTGACTGTGTCTATCTGTGACTGTGTCTATCTGTGACTGTGTCTGTCTGTGACTGTGTCTATCTGTGACTGTGTCTATCTTTGACTGTTGTCTATCTGTAACAGTGTCTATCTGTGACTGTGTCTATCTGTAACAGTGTCTATCTGTAACAGTGTCTATCTGTAACACTGTCTATATGTGACTCTGTCCATCTGTGACTGTGTTCATCTGTGACTGTTGTCTATCTGTAACAGTGTCTATCTGTGACTGTGTCTATCTGTAACAGTGTCTATCTGTGACTGTGTCTATCTGTGACTGTGTCTATCTGTGACTGTGTATCTGTGACTGTGTCTATCTGTGACTGTGTCTATCTGTGACTGTGTCTATCTGTAACAGTGTCTATCTGTGACTGTGTCTATCTGTGACTGTGTCTATCTGTGACTGTCTATCTGTAACAGTGTCTATCTGTGACTGTCCATCTGTGACTCTCCATCTGTGACTGTGTCTATCTGTGCCTGTGTCTATCTGTGACTGTCTATCTGTGACTGTGTCTATCTGTGACTGTCTATCTGTGACTGTGTCTATCTGTGACTGTGTCCATCTGTGACCCTGTCCATCTGTGACCGTGTCTATCTGTGACTGTGTATATCTGTGACTGTCTATCTGTGACTGTGTCTATCTGTGACTGTGTCTATCTGTAACAGTGTGACTGTGTCTATCTGTAACAGTGTCTATCTGTAACAGTGTCTATCTGTGACTGTGTCTATCTGTGACTGTGTCTATCTGTGACTGTGTCTGTCTGTGACTGTGTCTATCTGTGACTGTGTCTATCTTTGACTGTTGTCTATCTGTAACAGTGTCTATCTGTGACTGTGTCTATCTGTAACAGTGTCTATCTGTAACAGTGTGTATCTGTAACAGTGTCTATATGTGACTCTGTCCATCTGTGACTGTGTTCATCTGTGACTGTTGTCTATCTGTAACAGTGTCTATCTGTGACTGTGTCTATCTGTAACAGTGTCTATCTGTGACTGTGTCTATCTGTGACTGTGTCTATCTGTGACTGTGTCTATCTGTAACAGTGTCTATCTGTGACTGTGTCAATCTGTGACTGTGTCTATCTGTGACTGTCTATCTGTGACTGTCTATCTGTGACTGTGTCTATCTGTGACTGTGTCTATCTGTGACTGTGTCTATCTGTAACAGTGTCTATCTGTGACTGTGTCTATCTGTGACTGTCTATCTGTGCCCGTGTCTATCTGTGACTGTCCATCTGTGACTGTGTCTATCTGTGCCTGTGTCTATCTGTGACTGTCTATCTGTGACTGTGTCTATCTGTGACTGTCTATCTGTGACTGTGTCTATCTGTGACTGTCTATCTGTGACTGTGTCTATCTGTGACTGTCTATCTGTGACTGTGTCTATCTGTGACTGTCTATCTGTGACTGTCTATCTGTGACTGTCTATCTGTGACTGTGTCTATCTGTGACTGTGTCCATCTGTGACTGTGTCCATCTGTGACTGTTGTCTATCTGTGACTGTGTCTATCTGTGACTGTGTCTATCTGTGACTGTGTATATCTGTGACTGTGTCTATCTGTGACTGTGTCCATCTGTGACCCTGTCCATCTGTGACTGTGTCTATCTGTGACTGTCTATCTGTGACTGTGTCTATCTGTGACTGTGTCTATCTGTAACAGTGTCTATCTGTGACTGTGTCTATCTGTGACTGTGTCTATCTGTGACTGTCTATCTGTGCCCGTGTCTATCTGTGACTGTCCATCTGTGACTGTGTCTATCTGTGCCTGTGTCTATCTGTGACTGTCTATCTGTGACTGTGTCTATCTGTGACTGTCTATCTGTGACTGTCTATCTGTGACTGTGTCTATCTGTGACTGTGTCTATCTGTAACAGTGTCTATCTGTAACAGTGTCTATCTGTGACTGTGTCTATCTGTGACTGTGTCTGTCTGTGACTGTGTCTATCTGTGACTGTGTCTATCTTTGACTGTTGTCTATCTGTAACAGTGTCTATCTGTGACTGTGTCTATCTGTAACAGTGTCTATTTGTGACTGTGTCTATCTGTAACTGTGTCTATCTGTGACTGTGTCTATCTGTAACAGTGTCTATCTGTAACAGTGTCTATATGTGACTCTGTCCATCTGTGACTGTGTTCATCTGTGACTGTTGTCTATCTGTGACTGTGTCTATCTGTAACAGTGTCTATCTGTGACTGTCTATCTGTAACAGTGTCTATCTGTGACTGTGTCTATCTGTAACAGTGTCTATCTGTGACTGTGTCTATCTGTAACAGTGTCTATCTGTGACTGTCTATCTGTGACTGGCTATCTGTGACTGTGTCTATCTGTGACTGTGTCTATCTGTGACTGTGTCTATCTGTAACAGTGTCTATTTGTGACTGTGTCTATCTGTGACTGTGTCTATCTGTGACTGTCTATCTGTGCCCGTGTCTATCTGTGACTGTCCATCTGTGACTGTGTCTATCTGTTCCTGTGTCTATCTGTGACTGGCTATCTGTGACTGTGTCTATCTGTGACTGTCTATCTGTGACTCTCTATCTGTGACTGTGTCTATCTGTGACTGTCTATCTGTGACTGTGTCTATCTGTGACTGTCTATCTGTGACTGTGTCTATCTGTGACTGTGTCTATCTGTGACTGTCTATCTGTGACTGTGTCTATCTGTGACTGTGTCTATCTGTGACTGTCTATATGTGACTGTGTCTATCTGTGACTGTCTATCTGTGACTGTGTCTATCTGTGACTGTGTCTATCTGTGATTGTGTCTATCTGTGACTGTGTCTATCTGTGACTGTGTATATCTGTGACTGTGTCTATCTGTGACTGTGTCCATCTGTGACTGTGTCCATCTGTGACTGTTGTCTATCTGTGACTGTGTATATCTGTGACTGTGTTTATCTGTGACTGTGTCTATCTGTGACTGTGTCTATCTGTGACTGTGTCTATCTGTGACTGTCCATCTGTGACTGTGTCTATCTGTGACTGTGTCTATCTGTGACTGTCTATCTGTGACTGTGTCTATCTGTGACTGTGTCTATCTGTGACTGTCTATCTGTGACTGTGTCTATCTGTGACTGTCTATCTGTGACTGTCTATCTGTGACTGTCTATCTGTGACTGTGTCTATCTGTGACTGTCTATCTGAGACTGTGTCTATCTGTGACTGTCTATCTGTGACTGTGTCTATCTGTGACTGTCTATCTGTGACTGTGTCTATCTGTGACTGTCTATCTGTGACTGTGTCTATCTGTGACTGTCGATCTGTGACTGTCTATCTGTGACTCTCTATCTGTGACTGTGTCTATCTGTGACTGTCTATCTGTGACTGTGTCTATCTGTGACTGTGTCCATCTGTGACTGTCTATCTGTGACTGTGTCTATCTGTGACTGTGTCTATCTGTGACTGTCTATCTGTGACTGTGTCTATCTGTGACTGTCTATCTGTGACTGTCTATCTGTGACTGTCCATCTGTGACTGTGTCTATCTGTGACTGTCTATCTGTGACTGTCTATCTGTGACTGGCTATCTGTGACTGTCTATCTGTGACTGTCTATCTGTGACTGTGTTTCAGATGTTCCAGGTGGTGCAGCCTGCCAGGGCTCTCTACATCCAGGCCAACAACTGTGTGGAAGAGAAGGAGTGGTACGTACAGGGGAGATCTGTGTGCATCACACACAGTCAAGTGATGACAGTGACAAACATGGGTCAGGCATCATTACTATAGGGCCAGGGACACATTTAGCTAATCACTAGTGAGTCATGATGTAAGCATCTCTGTACCTGTCCCCTGATCAGGGAACTGTTTTGGCACACCTCAGTTGATCCAAATTCATCCAAAAGAAAATTACAAAATGGTTTGTGAGATGTGTTTCATGAAGGTGCTGTATTCCTTGGGGTGCCAGATAGTTCCTTTGTTGCTCACTGAGCCATGTATTATTCTAGGTCCTCCAGCCTCCTAGCATGAGTTGAGGGTTGTCTGTGATAGCAATGGTTTAACTGTGTCCCTCCTGCAGGCTGGATATCCTCACCAAAGTGCTGTATTCCTTGGGGTTCCAGATAGTTCCTTTGTTGCCCACTGAGCCATGTATTACTCTAGGTCCTCCAGCCTCCTAGCATGAGTTGATGGTTGTCTGTGATAGCAATGGTTTAACTGTGTCCCTCCTGCAGGCTGGATATCCTCACCAAGGTGTGCAACACCAACAAGAACCGGCTGATCGTGTACCACCCTGCTGCCTTCATCAACGGACACTGGCTCTGGTAAGGCTTAAACAGGGAGATCAGTGCATAGATCCGAGGCTTTACCCAAACTGTGAGAGGCTGGTGTGTTGACAATTATTTCCCGTGTGTTGTGTACTATACAGAGTTACTTCCCCTACTTAATTCTGCTGCCTCCATTTCCCCAGCACCTCGTTTTATTCATATTTTGTTTACAACTGTTGGTACAATAAAAGCAAAGAAGTGTAGAGAAAATATTCACATTTAAGCCATTACAGATCTCCTTATTTGGTGAACACTCTCCTTTTTGTGGTGATAACTAATGATTGATTTTCCAATGGCATGTATGCAGTGTGATGTTTTTTAAAGTCCCAACCGGACAATTTTGACCCCAATTAATCTTGATATTCCAATGGTATGTATACAATATGGTGTAGGCATCTCTGCTATTGTGTGTGTCCCTGCCTGTATGCAGCTGCAAGGAGGTGGACCTGACTGCGCGGGGGTGCTGCCCAGTGTCCGGGGGACTGCCGGTCACCGACATCCAGCTGGACATCGACTCAGACAGGGAGGTGGAGAAGATACACTCCCTCTTCCTGGGTCGCATGGACAAACTGGACTCTGTGCTAGGTAGGTTATCTGTGTGGACAAAACTGGACTCTGTGCTAGGTAGTTTATGTGTGTGGACAAACTGGACTCTGTGCTAGGTAGGTTATCTGTGTGGACAAAACTGGACTCTGTGCTAGGTAGGTTATCTGATGGACAAACTGGACTCTGTGCTAGGTAGGTTATCTGTGTGGACAAAACTGGACTCTGTGCTAGGTAGTTTATGTGTGTGGACAAACTGGACTCTGTGCTAGGTAGGTTATCTGTGTGGACAAAACTGGACTCTGTGCTAGGTAGTTTATGTGTGTGGACAAACTGGACTCTGTGCTAGGTAGGTTATCTGATGGACCAACTGGACTCTGTGCTAGGTAGGTTATCTGATGGACAAACTGGACTCTGTGCTAGGTAGGTTATCTGTGTGGACAAAACTGGACTCTGTGCTAGGTAGTTTATGTGTGTGGACAAACTGGACTCTGTGCTAGGTAGGTTATCTATGTGGACAAAACTGGACTCTGTGCTAGGTAGTTTATGTGTGTGGACAAACTGGACTCTGTGCTAGGTAGGTTATCTGTGTGGACAAACTGGACTGTGTGCTAGGTAGGTTATCTGTGTGGACAAAACTGGACTCTGTGCTAGGTAGTTTATGTGTGTGGATAAACTGGACTCTGTGCTAGGTAGTTTATGTATGTGGACAAACTGGACTCTGTGCTAGGTAGGTTATCTTTGTGGACAAAACTGGACTCTGTGCTAGGTAGTTTATGTGTGTGGACAAACTGGACTCTGTGCTAGATAGGTTATCTGTGTGGACAAAACTGGACTCTGTGCTAGGTAGTTTATGTGTGTGGACAAACTGGACTCTGTGCTAGGTAGATTATCTGATCGACAAACTGGACTGTGTGCTTGGTAGGTTATCTGATGGACAAACTGGACTGTGTGCTAGGGAGGTTATCTGATGGACAAACTGGACTGTGTGCTAGGGAGGTTATCTGATGGACAAACTTGACTCTGTGCTAGGTAGGTTATCTGATGGACAAACTGGACTGTGTGCTAGGGAGGTTATCTGATGGACAAACTTGACTCTGTGCTAGGTAGGTTATCTGATGGACAAACTGGACTGTGTGCTAGGGAGGTTATCTGATGGACAAACTTGACTCTGTGCTAGGTAGGTTATCTGATGGACAAACTGGACTGTGTGCTAGGGAGGTTAACTGATGGACAAACTGACTCAGTCGTGGGACTAGCTGCATGGCATGAGATGGGTGGCATGTGTGCTTCCTTAACGCAACTTGATCTTTATGCAGCATGTCATAGGGATGCTTTGTACTCGAGTGTTAATCTTCCATGTACTAATACTGTTGGCGTCGCTGTGGGCACAGGTACTGCAGACATGCACCCAGGTTCCTTTCAGTATAGACAAGTGTACCCAGGGAGCGTAGCAGTAAGAGGGGGCACGGTGGCCGAGTCATTTTCTGTGCTGAGTTGCATCCTTAGGGCATGCCAGAAACCTATGATTGTTGGTTCGAATCCCGGTTCGCCCCGATTATGTTTCTAGGTTTGTCAGCACCATAGCCGTGCTCGTGGGTTTCACCTAAGTGGTAAACGTCCGAGACCTGCATCACTTCGTGCTTTCCTCCCACATGAAGCTTGTTGAACAAAGCTGGAATGTCATGGCTCGATCGTAGCGCCACTAGTGGCTATTATGAGACATGTTCCTTCTATGTCCCTCCTATTGATCAATCAGATTCCATCTCTCGTGTCATTTGGTTCAAATAAGATGATGGCACCCAGTCAAGTCGATCTGATCGATAATCAAGGTCTATATTGTAATAAAATGGGTCTCACCTCACAAAGTGCATCAAATCACTTGAGCACATTGAAAGATTTGAAAACACATGCTTTGCAAATCCTGCAGTCGACCGAAATCTACACCTTGAAATCCATGTTGTTTACGAATCATATGTCTAGTTTATTGCCTGATTTTGATTGGACTATGCATAGACTCATCAGTGCAGCTAAACTCCAGAATTCCAACCTGGTTCGGCAAGGATGGTAACTTGACTTTTACAGTCAGTTAACACCCTTTCCTCGGGAAGATGCATTTCTGTTGGGGTTGTTTCTTTTTCTGTTCTCCTTTCGGTGTGGGTACATTTGTGTACACAGAGGGGCATCTGTGCCCACCACGATGTAGCAGAGGACCTGGGTTTGTTTGATGTCAGTAGTGTTCAGGATAATATCATCTGTACACCTTCCCCAGCTACACTAGGTTGTATATAACGCTTGCATTGATTGACATTCACAGATAGCATGCTGAATGACATTGACAACACTGGTAAGATATGCTCCGCCTGTGCCTGTCTGCATGTGTCTGGCTTGCTTGTGTTTTCGTTCAGTTTTAGCAATTCCTAAGATGTCTATTGACATAATTTTCTCTTTTGTTTTTAGTTTTCATTTAACTCGTTGAGGCCTACCTTATCTCTTCTGTGTTGTGAATAGTTGCAAATATTGTCAGCACATCTGACAGATAGTCAGGTGAGCTTATGTGATGGCCTGTCTGTCCATCGTGCTTGGTCAGGTGAGCTTATGTGATGGCCTGTCTGTCCATCGTGCTTGGTCAGGTGAGCTTATGTGATGGCCTGTCTGTCCATCGTGCTTGGTCAGGTGAGCTTATGTGATGGCCTGTCTGTCCATCGTGCTTGGTCAGGTGAGCTTATGTGATGGCCTGTCTGTCCATCGTGCTTGGTGCATCATAAACATCGTCCCCGAAACCACTGGACCAGTGAACTTGACGTACTTGTCCCCACCAGGGGGAGCCCAATTATTCACAAGGTTAAAAAAAAGCTAATTTTTTTCGATTGCTCAGACAACCCTGTCCAATGAAATGTGAGTTATATTTAGTTGATAGTGGGAGAACACACATGTTCTGTTTTTTGGGGGAATATTTTATATATTGTCAAACAACCAATAATGCTCAGACAACCCTGTCCAATGAAATGCGAGTTACATTTAGTTGATAGTGGGAGAACACATATGTTCTGTTTTTTGGGGCAATATTTTATATATTGTCAAACAAGCCTGTCCAATGAAATGTGAGTTATATTTAGTTGATAGCGGGAGAACGCATATGTTCTGTTTTGGGGGGGTAATATTTTATATATTGACCTTGATTTGACTTTTGCATTTTGACCATGGTCTTGACTTCTGTCAAAATGTATGTTCACTTGCTGACATTTGGGGAAATTTATTTTGACTCAAATTGTTTGAAAATTGTGTTAAAAATGTCTGGTTCCTCCTTTCAGAGAAATAAATTGTGTGCATTTACACACTGTCCCCAGACTTTGAACAGGATCAGTGTATTTTTCTCACCGAATGATTTAATAATAATAATAATAATAATTTATCTCTAATGCTGCTTAAACCAATAAATGTACTGTTCTCAATGCACATTGCTTGTAGATTTGATACTGCAAACTTTTATTTGAAACCGAAGCTCTGACATGTTAATTCCACAGTTTTAGACTTTTGTTATATGTCTGCTTAAAATGAAGGCTGCGAGGTTCAGGTATGTTCACATGTAACTCAGGGATGTGAAATCTCCGCGGAAACGCGGAAAATCGCGTTTTTTAAAACGGTAGTCCTCGGAAAAAATCATCTTCCGCGTAAAAATTTAATAATTTTTTTTAAAAAAAAACTCTCCGAAAAATATGATCGAAAACTTGACAATTGGCGCGGATTGTCCTGTTTTCGATCAGAGCTTTCACCATGATGTTGTCAAAGGCTGGCTCTGTGTCATAGCTGATTGTGTGTCCCTCTGCCTCCACCCCGTGAAGATACAGGACCAAATTGGTCTTCAGGAAACCATGCTTGTCACAAGGGTCAGCCTTAATGACTTGGTTGATGCATGTCATCGTATTTCTAGACTAGATTATTTACAGACCGCCATCATGTAGAGTGAGGAGTGGATTGTTAGAGTTGTTTGTGCCGTGATCTGGCTGGGAAATGCTGAGTGTGGAGCACATCTATTGTGTTGGTCAATCTTTGTGTTGTTTGATCACCCAGGATGACTAAGCTATATATATTAGGTTTTAAATAATAAAAGAATTGGTTCTCAGGCAGTACAGTACGGGCAGGCGGTATCTTTATTTTTTCATTTTTGGGGGGTTGTTCAAACTATTATGTACCCAAATAAACAGTTGTGTACCCAAATAAACAGTTGTGTAGTATCAACCTTGGAAAGGGCCTCCCTACATTAATGTATTCCTTGATGGGTAAAATACTTGAATACAGTATTTGACTACCGTTGAACTTAATATTTAAGGATATTTTTTTAAATGGAAATAAAAAGGAAATGTGTGACAAACTTTATGATGATGCGCGCGGTGCCTGAGAACCAAGACTTTTTTGTTTTAGCCTTATCATTGTCTATGTCTGTACACACCATTGTAATTTGAGATCATCATTGAGCATATACTCTGAAATGTTGGGTTCGTCTTAATAGAGAAGTTGACATCCATAAATTCTCTTCCATTTGTGTATCACTACTAAATGCCTTTCAAAGACATCGTTGAACATGTTAAGAAAATGATCCAGAGACGGTTAAATGTTCAGTGCCTGTTTGTGTGCTGGGTATTGCAGTGCTGTACGTACAAACTGAGAATAGACACAAGTCCTTTGAAATGCACAAAATGTAAACAGTATGGCTGTTTTGATCATTATATTTATCAAAACTGTAGATTTCAAGTTACACAAAACTGATGTTTGTATTCTGTAAGACCCCCAATTTAGGAGGTCATTGTTTGAATTTCTTCAGTTTGACATTGAAATCCCCATCACTGATAGACTGAAGGGTAAAATAAATGGAAAAAGTGAAGCATGCCACAGCTGGCAGGCTAGGATCCCCGTGTTCATCCTACATATTTATCACTGAGAATCCCCTTGATCCGAAAATATTTATGGTCGACACTGAGAAATCACTTATGATTATGTTGAAGCAGAGTTAGACAGATAAACTTATATAGTGCCTGTCTGATATGAGCATGTTATTGTTATGCAGTGCCTACATGGTGTGTGTGTTTTGACCCCACAGAGCAGTGCGGCTGTCAGGAGGTGTACTCAGGAAATGATGAGCCACGGCCCCGCCTGGTGATCGAGGACACGAAGCAGTGCTACCAGACGGTCACCGAGATCCAGAAGTGTGTCATCAACTTGGAGCAGGAACATAAGCAGCACCGCAAGATGTTACAGAAACATGCAGTGCCGGGTTCTATGTAAGTCTAGCCACACCACAAGATGTTACAGAAACATGCAGTGCCGGCTTCTATGTAAGTCTAGCCACACCACAAGATGTTACAGAAACATGCAGTGCCAGGTTCTATGTAAGTCTGTCTAGCCACACCACAAGATGTTACAGAAACATGCAGTGCCGGGTTCTATGTAAGTCTGTCTACCCACACCACCAGATGTTACAGAAACATGCAGTGCCGGGTTCTATGTAAGTCTGTCTAGCCACACCACAAGATGTTACAGAAACATGCAGTGCCGGGTTCTATGTAAGTCTGTTTAGCCACACCACAAGATGTTACAGAAACATGCAGTGCCGGCTTCTATGTAAGTCTGTCTAGCCACACCACAAGATGTTACAGAAACTTGCAGTGCCGGGTTCTATGTAAGTCTAGCCACACCACAAGATGTTACAGAAACATGCCGTGCCGGGTTCTATGTAAGTCTGTCTAGCCACACCACAAGATGTTACAGAAACATGCAGTGCCGGGTTCTATGTAAGTCTGTCTAGCCACACCACAAGATGTTACAGAAACATGCAGTGCCGGGTTCTATGTAAGTCTAGCCACACCACTAGATGTTACAGAAACATGCAGTGCCGGGTTCTATGTAAGTCTTAGCCACACCACAAGATGTTACAGAAACATGCAGTGCCAGGTTCTATGTAAGTCTGTCTAGCCACACCGAAAGATGTAACAGAAACATGCAGTGCCGGGTTCTATGTAAGTCTGTCTAGCCACACCACAAGATGTTACAGAAACATGCAGTGCCGGGTTCTATGTAAGTCTGTCTAGCCACACCACAAGATGTTACAGAAACATGCAGTGCCGGGTTCTATATAAGTCTAGCCACACCACAAGATGTTACAGAAACTTGCAGTGCCGGGTTCTATGTAAGTCTGTCTAGCCACACCACAAGATGTTACAGAAACATGCAGTGCCGGGTTCTATGTAAGTCTAGCCACACCACAAGATGTTACAGAAACATGCAGTTCTGGGTTCTATATAAGTCTGTCTAGCCACACCACAAGATGTTACAGAAACATGCAGTGCTGGGTTCTATGTAAGTCTAGCCACACCACAAGATGTTACAGAAACATGCAGTGCCGGCTTCTATGTAAGTCTGTCTAGCCTAACCACTAGATGTTACAGAAACATGCAGTGCCGGGTTCTATGTAAGTCTAGCCACACCACAAGATGTTACAGAAACATGCAGTTCCGGGTTCTATATAAGTCTGTCTAGCCACACCACAAGATGTTACAGAAACATGCAGTGCTGGGTTCTATGTAAGTCTAGCCACACCACAAGATGTTACAGAAACATGCAGTGCCGGGTTCTATGTAAGTCTGTCTAGCCACACCACTAGATGTTACAGAAACATGCAGTGCCGGGTTCTATGTAAGTCTAGCTACACCACTAGATGTTACAGAAACATGCAGTGCCGGGTTCTATGTAAGTCTGTCTAGTCACACCACAAGATGTTACAGAAACTTGCAGTGCCGGGTTCTATGTAAGTCTGTCTAGCCACACCACTAGATGTTACAGAAACATGCAGTGCCGGGTTCTATGTAAGTCTAGTCACACCGCAAGATATTACAGAAACATGCAGTTCTGGGTTCTATGTAAGTCTGTCTAGCTACACCACAAGATGTTACAGAAACATGCAGTGCCGGGTTCTATGTAAGTCTGTCTAGCCACACCACAAGATGTTACAGAAACATGCCGTGCCGGGTTCTATGTAAGTCTGTCTAGCCACACCACAAGATGTTACAGAAACATGCCGTGCCGGGTTCTATGTAAGTCTGTCTAGCCACACCACAAGATGTTACAGAAACATGCAGTGCCGGGTTCTATGTAAGTCTGTCTAGCTACACCACAAGATGTTACAGAAACATGCCGTGCCGGGTTCTATGTAAGTCTGTCTAGCTACACCACTAGATGTTACAGAAACATGCAGTGCCGGGTTCTATGTAAGTCTGTCTAGTCACACCACAAGATGTTACAGAAACTTGCAGTGTCAGGTTCTATGTAAGTCTAGCCACACCACAAAATGTTACAGAAACATGCAGTGCCGGGTTCTATGTAAGTCTGTCTAGCCACACCACAAGATGTTACAGAAACATGCAGTGCCAGGTTCTATGTAAGTCTAGTCACACCATAAGATGTTACAGAAACATGCAGTGCCGGGTTCTATGTAAGTCTAGCCACACCACAAGATGTTACAGAAACATGCAGTGCCGGGTTCTATGTCAGTCTGTCTAGCCACACCACAAGATGTTACAGAAACATGCAGTGCCGGGTTCTATGTAAGTCTAGCCACCCCACTAGATGTTACAGAAACATGCAGTGCCGGGTTCTATGTAAGTCTGTCTAGCCACACCACTAGATGTTACAGAAACATGCAGTGCCGGGTTCCATGTAAGTCTGTCTAGCCACACCACAAGATGTTACAGAAACATGCAGTGCCGGGTTCTATGTAAGTCTGTCTAGCCACACCACAAGATGTTACAGAAACATTCAGTGCCGGGTTCTATGTAAGTCTGTCTAGTCACACCACAAGATGTTACAGAAACATGCAGTGCCGGGTTCTATATAAGTCTAGCCACACCACAAGATGTTACAGAAACTTGCAGTGCCGGGTTCTATGTAAGTCTGTCTAGCCACACCACAAGATGTTACAGAAACATGCAGTGCCGGGTTCTATGTAAGTCTGTCAAGTCACACCACAAGATGTTACAGAAACATGCAGTGCCGGGTTCTATGTAAGTCTGTCTAGCCACACCACAAGATGTTACAGAAACATGCAGTGCCGGGTTCTATGTAAGTCTGTCTAGCCACACCACAAGATGTTACAGAAACATGCAGTGCTGGGTTCTATGTAAGTCTGTCTAGCCACACCACAAGATGTTACAGAAACATGCAGTGCCGGGTTCTATGTAAGTCTGTCTAGCCACACCACAAGATGTTACAGAAACATGCAGTGCCGGGTTCTATGTAAGTCTGTCTAGCCACACCACAAGATGTTACAGAAACATGGAGTGCCGGGTTCTATGTAAGTCTGTCTAGCCACACCACAAGATGTTACAGAAACATGCAGTGCCGGGTTCTATGTAAGTCTGTCTAGCCACACCACAAGATGTTACAGAAACATGCAGTGCCGGGTTCTATGTAAGTCAAGTCACACCACAAGATGTTACAGAAACATGCCGTGCTGGGTTCTATGTAAGTCTGTCTAGCCACACCACAAGATGTTACAGAAACATGCAGTGCCGGGTTCTATGTAAGTCTGTCTAGCCACACCACAAGATGTTACAGAAACATGCAGTGCTGGGTTCTATGTAAGTCTGTCTAGCCACACCACAAGATGTTACAGAAACATGCAGTGCCGGGTTCTATGTAAGTCTAGTCACACCACAAGATGTTACAGAAACATGCAGTGCCGGGTTCTATGTAAGTCCGTCTAGCCACACCACAAGATGTTACAGAAACATGCAGTGCCGGGTTCTATGTAAGTCTGTCTAGCCACACCACAAGATGTTACAGAAACTTGCAGTGCCGGGTTCTATGTAAGTCTAGCCACACCACAAGATGTTACAGAAACATGCAGTGCCAGGTTCTATATAAGTCTGTCTAGCCACACCACAAGATGTTACAGAAACTTGCAGTGCCGGGTTCTATGTAAGTCTGTCTAGCCAGACCACAAGATGTTACAGAAACATGCAGTGCCGGGTTCTATGTAAGTCTGTCTAGCCAGACCACAAGATGTTACAGAAACATGCAGTGCCGGGTTCTATGTAAGTCTGTCTAGCCACACCACAAGATGTTACAGAAACATTCAGTGCCGGGTTCCATGTAAGTCTGTCTAGTCACACCACAAGATGTTACAGAAACATGCAGTGCCGGGTTCTATATAAGTCTAGCCACACCACAAGATGTTACAGAAACTTGCAGTGCCGGGTTCTATGTAAGTCTGTCTAGCCACACCACAAGATGTTACAGAAACATGCAGTGCCGGGTTCTATGTAAGTCTGTCAAGTCACACCACAAGATGTTACAGAAACATGCAGTGCCGGGTTCTATGTAAGTCTGTCTAGCCACACCACAAGATGTTACAGAAACATGCAGTGCCGGGTTCTATGTAAGTCTGTCTAGCCACACCACAAGATGTTACAGAAACATGCAGTGCTGGGTTCTATGTAAGTCTGTCTAGCCACACCACAAGATGTTACAGAAACATGCAGTGCCGGGTTCTATGTAAGTCTGTCTAGCCACACCACAAGATGTTACAGAAACATGCAGTGCCGGGTTCTATGTAAGTCTGTCTAGCCACACCACAAGATGTTACAGAAACATGGAGTGCCGGGTTCTATGTAAGTCTGTCTAGCCACACCACAAGATGTTACAGAAACATGCAGTGCCGGGTTCTATGTAAGTCTGTCTAGCCAGACCACAAGATGTTACAGAAACATGCAGTGCCGGGTTCTATGTAAGTCTGTCTAGCCAGACCACAAGATGTTACAGAAACATGCAGTGCCGGGTTCTATGTAAGTCTAGCCACACCACAAGATGTTACAGAAACATGCAGTGCCGGGTTCTATGTAAGTCTGTCTAGCCACACCACAAGATGTTACAGAAACATGCAGTGCCGGGTTCTATGTAAGTCTGTCTAGCCACACCACAAGATGTTACAGAAACTTGCAGTGCCGGGTTCTATGTAAGTCTAGCCACACCACTAGATGTTACAGAAACTTGCAGTGCCAGGTTCTATGTAAGTCTGTCTAGCCACACCACAAGATGTTACAGAAACATGCAGTGCCGGGTTCTATGTAAGTCTAGCCACACCACAAGATGTTACAGAAACATGCAGTGCTGGGTTCTATGTAAGTCTGTCTAGCCACACCACAAGATGTTACAGAAACATGCAGTGCCGGGTTCTAAATAAGTCTAGCCACACCACAAGATGTTACAGAAACATGCAGTGCTGGGTTCTATGTAAGTCTGTCTAGCCACACCACAAGATGTTACAGAAACATGCAGTGCCGGGTTCTATATAAGTCTGTCTAGCCACACCACAAGATGTTACAGAAACTTGCAGTGCCAGATTCAATGTAAGTCTGTCTAGCCACACCACAAGATGTTACAGAAACATGCAGTGCCGGGTTCTATGTAAGTCTGTCTAGCCACACCACAAGATGTTACAGAAAGATGCAGTGCCAGGTTCTATGTAAGTCTGTCTAGCCACACCACAAGATGTTACAGAAACTTGCAGTGCCGGGTTCTATGTAAGTCTGTCTAGCCACACCACAAGACGTTACAGAAACATGCAGTGCCAGATTCTATGAAAGTCTTGTCACACCGCAAAAGCAATTCATCTATGCCCTGTTATCTCTTCGGAATATTTCTAGATTTTTCCCATTTTTCATCTTTTGTTGTCCTTGAAACTGCAACGGTCACGCCTATTTGTTTATCAATGCTGCATCTGACTGAACTTACGGGAGTTGTATCTGTGTTCCAGTGACATGCCTATCGGAGACGAGAGCGCCATGCTGCCTGGGACCAGGTTGTAGTGATACATCAACACCACTGGAGGCCACCAGGAGTGACTGGAAACTTGGTGCTGGGCCACAGGGTACAATACACATCCACAACAATAGTCCCGGCGGACAATACACAAACAGCAGAGGTCTGTTCTGTCTCCTGCAAAGACAGGTGCTTGCTGCATTGCCCACTTGCAAGATGTGTGATCTTGTGTCACTTCTGATGGCAAGACGTCCGATCTTGTGTTACAGTTGAAGCAAGACATATGATCTTGTGTCAGGGTTGACGGCAAGGCGTACGATCTTGTGTTACAGTTGAAGCAAGACATATGATCTTGTGTCAGGGTTGATGGCAAGACATACGATCTTGTGTCAGGGTTGAAGCAAGACGTGATCTTGTGTCACGGTTGATGTCAAGACATGTGATCTTGTGTCACGGCTGATGGCAAGACATACGATCTTGTGTCAGGCTTGATGGCAAGACATGTGATCTTGTGTCACGGTTGATGGCAAGACATGTGATCTTGTGTCAAGGTTGATGACAAGACGTGATCTTGTGTCATGGTTGATGGCAAGACATACGATCTTGTGTCACGGTTGATGGCAAGACATATGATCTTGTGTCACGGTTGATGGCCTGACGTGCGATCTCATGTCACAGTTGTAGGCAAATGAAGTGCAATTATCATGTTGAAGTTTGGGCCAGGAATTTTTGATGATATCCACAACCCTAGGAGAGGGTGCAAGTTGCAGTCTGTGTTGTAAATGCATAAATATCAAGAAACACTTGTGGATTTTGCAAGTGTCCGTATCTTCTATATATCCAGTTGTGGCCGACGTGGTGCTCACACGCTGTGTTGGAATAGTGCTATTTTCATTTTTCATAATATCTTTGTTTCACTATACAGAGACGGTTGCTCAAAGAGCCAGTGCTAATAGTTTAGATAGTTTCCGTTGATGAAATCTGCAGTGGGTAACGAATGATGAGAATGACAATCTTTTGTTGTGCATCTTACCAGTAAAGAACAGTTTGTGAGTAATACTTGTCAGCATTATTGTCCCTGGGAACCTGAAGCACACAGACTCAGGGATGCAGTCAGCTAAGAGAGTGGTTGTCATCTTATCAAAGGGAGGTAATTGCATTATGATATTTTTGTTGATAATCAGATTTCTCTCAAAGAGATTATGATTCACTCTTGTTATGTCACCAACCTTGCATGATGTTTGATAGGTTTATGTTTAGATGCTGACAAGTAATCCTGATCGATGGTTCACAGGGTTCGATATACGTCCAGCATAATAATGCACCATGGATTATGTGAGGGTTAAGTTGTTCTGTTGTTTTCACTGATTAACTGAAGGGTCAGTGCTGTTTACACAGACTATTGTCATTGTTATCACAAGTGCATTAATAATCAACATAGATGTGAATGTACCATAATACATTGAGAGAATATGTTTACATCACTGTTTGGTCCTAAGCATCACGATTCCTAGGTTCTGTAGTCCATGCCACCTTCATGCTGTAGAACATTCACCTCAGAGATTGTGAAATAATGGACTACACGCTCTGTGCCTTTTTGAAAACTGATGTTTTTTGAGATCTGTATTGTGCTGTGCAGAACCCAATCTCACTAAAATCAAATCTAAGTTCTCGCTGCCGCTATTCAAAGATCTGAGGACATCCCATTATGGGTCACATCAGAAAGACCTTTCGGAAACTTTCACCAACCACGGAAATGTCTAACAAGAAGTCAACATCAGGCAATTAGAAATCAGCTTTATTGAGCTTAACGACATTCGTTTCAACCTGGCGACTTCCATTTCAGACTACGCTTGAAAAATATGTTGACACCATTCTCGAATAAAATTTAAAAAACTGAACAAACGAACATTCCAGATGTCTAATATATGGCTGAGATTGTATGGCAGTGAATCCCACTTACTGTGCAATGCCTCCTCCGTTCAAATGTTTATCCCACGGAAGCTAGAGATAGACGATAATTTTGACGGAATCAGTCATACGGGCTGTAACTGTCGTTCAGAATACCCTGTGTTAACGTTTTCGAGGTTGCAGGATTCAAAAACACATTCTGACTGTCACTTTCATGATCTGGTAAGAGACACTTTGATTGGTCGGATGAAAGGTCGTTCTGATGTGACCCGTAATCGATGTCCTCAGATCTTTGTTGAGCGATAGCGAGAACTAAGATCTGATTTTAATGAGATTGTACAGAACCCAGCTGCAGTCAGTATGTTGTCTATATCAAATATATATATATTTCTAAACAACAAAATTGCATAATGTAGACGATACAGTTATCATGTTTATCACAGTAGGATATTTTGCTAAAAAGTATATATATATATTTTTCCACCATGTTCATATTGACCTATTGAATATTTTTTTGTCACCCACCGAAATATCACGCCTGATTGGGATATTGCCTTGCCAAGACCTTTTTTGTCTTTAAACATTTCCTGACGTTGATTGTTTATAAAAGTATACTGAATTCTCTGTGAGAAATGTATTTTTCAAAGAAAGATATGGTATATATATATTTCTATATTTTGGTCAGTTTTATATCTGCTTAGGTGAGGCTGGATGTATTCATCAGTTAAGGTGTAGCCATCTATTGACATTATCTTGTATTACTGAAGACACAAATAGGACACAATGATGCCAAAGTGTCTTTTTAATATATCAGGCACAATTGCTTTTAATTCAATAAGACAATAGTGTGACTATTTTCTATGACTGTTCCCAGTTCTAAAATGTGTTTTTTGTGTTAATGTCGGAAATGAAGGAAAGATTAAGATGATCGGTGAGAATTACCAGGGTTTGAAATTACCATTATCAGCGAATCCAAGAATAGTTTAATTCAGGAAGGACTAGTGCCAATTCCTTTGAGACTACCACTTTTATCCTCCGGTAGATGCAACTCTGCAGCAGCTCATTTTTGTGGACAAGTGAAAATGAAAACATCTTTCCAACTCTCACTATTGAAGTTATTTTAACTTCTATCTGTCTCCCTTGGGATAACGTCTTTAGAAGATCAATGTCAAATTTCATGGTGCGACCAGATTGCATTATCCTGAGTAAGCCAAAACGGGCTACTTGTCACTAGTCATTCTGTGTCGATGAATCTGTCTAAACTCCTCCTTTAATCATCGATCAGTCAGTGGAGGAGGTAGATTCATTGTTTTGATTCACGGAAGCAAACTTTTACCAAAGATAAGTCAGCCGTGAGATGACGGCTCTTTCACCCTGGACATTGTCAGTCTGAAGAAAGATTGGGTCTGCTGTAATATGCTGCACAACGTTTGTAAGGGATTTGTGAGAAAAATAAGGTAATTTGTGTTAGTACGAACGACTGAAGTCCCTCTGACTGAACAAGTGTGATTTAAATGAATTCCTATTGCAAGTAGGCATGAAAGGCTTGTTTCTAAGGTGCTGCAACTGAATGTGTAGAGTTGCGTCCCCTAGGCATGCCAGGATCCAATGATCCTAGATTCACCCTGAGATTATTATCGGTTTTGTTCAGCACCAAACTCATGCTCGTGTGTTGGGGTCATCTCACTTCTTATGATAAACACATCATCTCAGAGGGAACAAGGTATTTTCATAAATTACAGCTGTCAAAAAATGATAAACTCCTAATGTGTTCAATATGTGTTGATGTATCCACTGTCTTTTTGTTATGGTAAAATTTCATTCAGCAAACAAGTAGTAATTTTATTCTCTTAGCAGAAGATAAGCAGTGTTTTTGATGTTGTCGTTTATGTTCATAATTCTCAATTTTTCTGTGGATTTTCTCTCGTCATTTATCCAGTAGAAATGCCTGATACAAATGTTTTGTTCCGATTTGAGTCAGTGTGTTTCCAGTCAAGACAGTATCTGCTAGTCATAGATGTTGTGTCCGATATTACCAAAGTACAACTTGTTGAATCTCAGAGCCTTTTGAACAATGAAGCCAGTTTCTCTGTGGGGTATGGTTGAGTGGTGTAGTTGTGTATCTGATATCCAAATGGCATATATTTAGTGATTTCACACACAGCATTACCCGATACACAACTATGTCCCTTGATACTTCTGCCTCTACAGGCCGCCCACACTGAACCAGTGCTGTGCAGCAGCAGCAACTCATGTATGTTTCAATAGCAGCCCTGAGTAACATACCACAGCAGCATCAGCAACTCGTGTATGTTTCAATAGCAACGCTGAGTAACATACCACATCAGCAGCAGCAACTCATGTATGTTTCAATAGCAACGCTGAGTAACATACCACATCAGCAGCAGCAACTCGTGTATGTTTCAATAGCAACGCTGAGTAACATACCACAGCAGCATCAGCAACTCGTGTATGTTTCAATAGCAGCCCTGAGTAACATACCACATCAGCAGCAGCAACTCGTGTATGTTTCAATAGCAGCCCTGAGTAACATACCACATCAGCAGCAGCAACTCATGTATGTTTCAATAGCAGCCCTGAGTAACATACCACATCAGCAGCAGCAACTCCTGTATGTTTCAATAGCAGCCCTGATGATCATACCACATCAGCAACACATAGACATAATGAAAATTCAAACACTCAAGAAGGATTTTACCTGCTTAGGCCAGACTCGTTTTAAACTTGATTTACGAATCCACCGAAATTTCAAATGTGAATGAATTTAAAGAACGCAAAGCAGAGGTTGGTTTTTCATTCTTCCGACAAGAAATTAATAAAATGTTAAAACAAAACCTTATTTACTGTTGCCATCAATATAAATGATTAACATACTATAGTTAATACCTGTTGAAACTTCATCTTCAAGACTTCAGAGCACAACAAATTTTGATGAATCTTGAGAGGTCATTACAACAGATATTTGAAATTTGAAATCTGACCTTATTGCCCTGTTGTACTGGTGATAAGAAGGGTAGGCCAGGATCTTGATGTATCTTCAGTTTCACCTGTCTCTGAGAGAGAGAGAGATAAATTGTTATTACTGCTTTCTACTCCGGCATGTTTCCAATGATCGTATATGGCAAGGTTATCCATGGTTCCACTGTAATGATCAACAAGGATTCAATAAACATACAACAGAAATGTCCAGTGCAATTATTATAACTTCAACTGTAATTTGTTATTTTATGCTGAACTGCTGCTGCAATGTGCTGTCTGATGGGAGTTGAAGGAAGCTGCGTGTGCATGCTGCACTGTTGTACCGCTGCTGCAATGTGCTGTCTGATGTGAGTTGAAGGAAATTGCGTGTGCATGCTGCACTGTTGTACCGCTGCTCCAGTGTCGGGCGGCCGTCAGAGGATGCAGATGTATCATGTTATGATGCTCAATACATGTGTTCTTTGTTCACTGTGAAAATGGTTGAGAAAATAATATTTCAGTTTTCTTTATAGCAAATGATGTTTTTTTTAAAGAAAGTTATTTTAGTTCTTTTTGAGAATATTGTATATTGTTATTTTTTTCATTCATTTCTTAAAGCAGGAAGTACCTTCATCTATCCTCAAGATAAAGATTGTGAGAGTTACAAGGATTTTGATTCTTGGATAAATCTTCTCAGTGTTAGGCAGACATTTTCTTGTACCATTGTCCAAGTAAGAAGGTATGCCTGTCTTTGTCATATCTGCGTGAGTTGTCAGACTGTAGAAGATTTGAGATAAAGAGTTGTAGCATTGAGAGGGAAATTCCGTAGCAGTCCCAGATGTGTAGATATTACTGAGTCTGGCTGCTGTTTAACAGGGTAGGCCAGGAAATAGTATTATGGTTCCAATTGTGTTTTGTCGCAATAAAACTTTCAGTGGCTTCCTGTAAAATGGGACAGAAATATGTTTCTGTTCGGTGTTCCATCTTGAACATATAAAAGGGTGCTGTTGCCTGTAGCTCTTGAAATACATGTTGAAACTGAAACCATAATATTATTCCGACCATGGTCCAATATCTCTATCCTACCTCAAGACAGTGATTGATAAAATTGACCCAACTTGATCTTTACAGTGTTTTAAAGTGGCATGTAACCATGGTAACAGGGAAGTGTAACCCATCAACTTGTCCAAAACCTGAAGCCTAAAATCAGTTCATTGTGATGTGTACAGCGGAATCTAGACCAAGTCATTACATTAGAACAAATCGCCATTATCCTGGCACTGTAACTTGAAACGTTTGATAAGGAATGAACAGGTTGTTTCATGTGACAAACTGGATTGCAGATCTTGTGTTTTTGTCATTGAGGCTGACCAGGAAGTGTTGCTAGGAAACAACAAGTTGTTTATTTGTTCATCATCACAGGTGCTACGTTTTTCTGAAGTAATATTTATTTTGTTCCTCTGGCATGTTTAATTACGCTTTGATGAGGACACTTAGCTAACAGGTTACCTCCGGGAGTAAGCAAAGCCTGGGAAAGCTCTAAATAAGTAGCGAAAAGTCAAAACTTATGAACGAATTGATTTGTTATGGTTAATCTGTTGACCTCTTACAGTCGTGGACAATTTGTAATTATTACTACATCAACTAGACAAACAATAATTTTCTAATATTGATATCATGAAAATATTGACAATGACAAAAATGGCAACTAGCACTTTAGTCTTTACTATTTGAAAATGTTCAAAAATTTGTTTGTAAATTTGTTGTGGCTTTTCCAGGTTTCCTATTGAAATATTTGCCCTTCTCCACATATAACCCCTTTTCTGTCTGCTAGATCCAGCTCCTTTCATTCTGTGTGAGACTGCAACAGACAAGACAAAGAACTTTCTGAAATGAGTAATCTGAAGCCTTCTTGATTGTTTTACATCAGCAGTGATTGAGCGTTCTAGGATGTAGATGTGCTTAAGATAACATTTACTATACATGGAGCCCCTTCATTCAGCATTGTCAGTTTGCTTTCCTAACCTTCCACTTGGCACTTCGGATGTTCTTACCTTGGCAATCACTGAATGTGGATATGGTTATCTAAGCAATCACAGAATGTGGAAATGATTATGTAAGCAAACACCGAATGTAGATATGCTTATCTAAGCATTCACCGAATGTGGATATGATTATGTAAGCATTCACCGAATGTGGATATGATTATGTAAGCATTCACAGAATGTGGATATGATTATGTAAGCATTCACAGAATGTGGATATGATTATGTAAGCAATCACAGAATGTGGATATGATTATGTAAGCAATCACAGAATGTGGATATGATTATGTAAGCATTCAAAGAATGAGGATATGATTATGTAAGCAATCACAGAATGTGGATATGATTATGTAAGCATTCACAGAATGTGGATATGATTATGTAAGCATTCACAGAATGTGGATATGATTATGTAAGCAATCACAAAATGTGGATATGATTATGTAAGCATTCTGAGAATGAGGATATGATTATGTAAGCAATCACAGAATGTGGATATGATTATGTAAGCAATCACAGAATGTAGATATGATTATGTTAGCATTCACAGGCTGTTTATGCATGTGTCTATCTAGGCTTTGGCGTTTACCGAATGTAGATGTGCTGGTCTCAGTATTGACAGAATGTGGACTGATCATCCCTCAAGTGTGGTTCTACTTACATAGGCACTCATGCTGTGTCATAACCTTATCCTGTTGACTTCATAACTGAAGCTCCATGAAAAAGTATTGATAAAATAACGTTATGTTTCGCGAAACAACAAGTGGCTAATTGATGCAATATATTGGTTATGTTGGTTAATTAGTAAGCTTAAAAATAGTTACTGTACAAAGTTATGATATTTTGGCATAAAGGGGTTATTCTTTTTATTTGTGATATTTCTTCCTTTATTCCTTCCGACACTTACATTGTGTAATCCCTCTCTCTTATATTTGTGTCACGTGTTCACCGAATGTACCATCCTTGCATGTGTTTGTCTCCCATTGATTTTGTTATCAGTACCAAGTGATGAATTACGATTCCTCCATATCATAATATTTCAATTTCTTTTTTTATATGTTAGATTTCTTGATATTAGTGTAAATCAAATACAAATATACCTCGCTTTGATTCACTTGTATTTTGATATTGTTTTGTTATGTATTGTGTACTTATGATTTGACATTGTTTAGTGACATGGAACAAACAGCATTGTTATAGTTGCACAATGATCCCTCCGAAGGTAAACCAAGGTATATCACCCCCTTCATCTTCTAACAGTGTATTTCATATCATCAATGAAACATTTTTTGCTTTATTTGTTCATCAGGGATATAGATGTCCACTGTTCATTTTCAACAATCAACAATTTATGATATTATACTATGCTTCAGGGGTGGTGGGGTAGCCTAGTGGTTAAAGTGTTTGCTCGTCAAGCTGAAGACCCGGGTTCGATTCCCCACATTGATCCAATGTGTGAAGCCCATTTCTGGTGTCTCCTGTCGTGATATTGCTGGAATTTTGCGAAAAAGCAGCATAAAAACATATTCACTCACTCAGGATTTAATGTGATTTTAAGCAAAATGAAGATGAAATCATTTTATGTGAAAATTAGAATTACTCTTGACAGATAATTGAAATATATTCCTCTGTCTTCCTCTGTGAGTAACAGTAAACAATGAGTTTATGCAAAACGATTATAACCTTTTCATACTTTTGAATTAACAAAAATGTCGACCAGATTACGGGTTAGTAGTTCTTGAAGTGACCAAAGCTGATGTTGGCATAGAGACAGATGCTCACACCACTATGGCATGACTGAAGCACTCTCTCAGTATATCAGTAAAACTGATTAGTATTTGTCACACTGTGACAGAGAAAGAAATGGGAGTCTAACACTAGTCCATATCATCATGCATAATAGTTTTTTCAAACACTAATAAACAGTGATATATGTCAAACATTTCATGTCTATCAAGGCCAGTGGGTTTCAGTTTGTGGAGCTGATGAAATCCACTTTATTTCCTGCTGTTTAGATCACCCTGATTTAATATAGACGAGAAGCTTGTCAAGTGTTTCATACTGTTCAGTGCAGCAATACAAGCATTGCGCCGGTAGCAGCGGTCCTTGTAATCATTGCAACGATGCATGTCGAGTTATGTTGTGTACATGATGCTGATTTCTCATTGGTTTTAAAATATGTCCATATTAAGTAATGGAAGCATCGTTTCAAGTCCCAAAGAAATCGTATCAGCCCACTTCTTTGTAAACAAGCATACCACATATTAATGGCCAATAGTTGATTGACCACTTGTAGCAGATGACCACTGCCTTCTCCACCATCAGCCCACTCACGGAACATGATTTCACCTTGAGATAGATACAGTCTTCACTTTGCACTCAAACAATATACTACCAATACATGTTAACAGAGCATACCCCCATTACAAAAAGTGCCAAAGCTGTCATAAGCGATTACTAAATATATCTCTGTGTTTTATGTTGTTATGTTTCCAAAAGACTTGGTTTATTTCCTTCTGGATCAGTACAGTAAATGTGAGATGATATTGTAGTTTTGTCTGTAAATAAAAGTCCATAATGGAAGTGTTGTGTTTCTGTTGCTTCTGGGAACTTAGTGATTTGATTACTTGGCACCAGAGTTGGTGGGGTAGCCTTTCGGTCAAAGCCTTTGCTTGCACGCCGAGGACCCAGGTTCGATTCTCTACATGTGTACAATGTGTGAAGCCCGTTTCTGGTGTCTCCCGCCCTGAATATTGTTGGAATATTGCTAAAAGCTGTGTAAAACCTTACTCGCTCGCTCACTTGTGATCACCCGGACTGAGTTCTTGGGCCTTAGATTCTGCTGGCGTCGTTGGTACCTTGGGCATGTATGGAAATGAGATCGATGTGATGTATGTATTTCCAAAGAAGGAGGACCGCCTCTGTTGCCTAGTGGTAGAGCGTTCGCCCGGAGATCGGAAGGTCCGGGGTTCGATCCCCGGCCGCGTCATACCAAAAGATGTATAAAGATGATACTTGTTGTTACCCTGTCTGGCGCTCGGCATAAAGGGGCTAAAACAAGGACTGGTCGGCTCGGAGTCAGTATACTGTGTCTGAGTGGGGTATTTATGTTACACTGCGGCATGGTATCTCAGTGAGCTAGCACTATAAATCGGCATCAGTCCGGACTAGTACAAGCAGCCACACAAACACACACATGTACATGCACGTCGCTATATAAGTGCAATAATCTTGGACGCGAGGTTAAACCCCATTTCACCTCACCTCACCTCACATACACAGCGATGGGGACGGAACTATGAAGAATCCGTAGGTCGTAGTTAAAACCTGATTACACAGCTCAGTTCTCAAATAACTGAACAAACATGAACAAACGATATTTATTTTGGTGTAAAGTAGATGTCCATGTATCCACATCCATTAATTGGTGTAAATCATACTGTAATCAATGCAATGAAAAATAAACATCTTAGTTTGGACGTTATTTGTCTGCCGAGAGCTGGAACATTAAGAGTAACATCTGTTTTCGTGGAAATAATGCACAGTACACTACTTGTTTGGTGTTCCCATCGCAAACTTCACTGCTCTATAACATGGAGACTGGAACCCGACTAGGCGGTTGTCTGCAAGGATAGCGTGGTACCACTTTGGGTTGCTGGATATCGAGCTTGGAGACACGACTAGAGCGGACGGAGAGTTACTGATACTTGATGCACACAGTAGTTTCAGCTTATTGGGCACACTAGCTTTGGTTTTCGCTCACAGAAGCAGGTATGCAAGAATACAACACTACACTAGGGGACTGACCATTTGATATTGGGGGGGGGGGGGGGGGGGGATATCCTTCAAAAAAAATAAATTATGGTTCCGATTGATGAGAAAAGAAGAAATTGCCTGCCACAAAACTTACATTGTTGCAAGGTGTTTTTCTTGTTTTAAGAAATCAGGCTCGGGTTTTATAGAATCATAATATCTAATCTCGATGCACAATCTCATCCTACCCTCCCCCAAAATATCAAATGGTCGGCCCTTACCTGGATATGTCAATATTGCGCCACATAATCAAATACAACCGCCAACATTAAGTACAGAGACATTGAATAAAATACAAATGTCATCGCTCAGTGGCAAGAATGATAATACATGTATGCTGGTTCAAACAAAATAAACACATACAAAAATAGATGATATTTTCCCCGACTGCTGTGGTCGTTCTTCATGCTATCGACCTCTGGCGTACCTAGTATAGAAGCTGGCTCATTGTTGAATGTGGTTTTCAGCCGCAACATTCAGCCACCGTAAACAGACCATTGATCTCCTGGGTTAACCTGAGGTGCCGACCATTTTGTATTCCTGGAAGAGCACGGCAGTTAACTGATTTAAAAGTCCAGTTTCCACCCTTGCCGAACTTGGCGGGAATTCCGCAGTTACAGTTTGGCTGGAATAACGAGTCTATGCATAGTCCAATTACAATCGCATAACGAACTAGACATCCAGTTCGTAAATAACATGTATTTTCAACGTGCAGATTTCGGTGGACTGCTGGATTTGCAAAGCATGTGTACAGCCAGCCAACTGGGCGTCGACATAGTTTGCAAATCTTTTCATGTTTGTAATCAATGAGCTCACCTGATTTAACGCACTTCGCGAGGTAAAGACCGTTTTATTACATTATAGATCTTTATTATCGATCAGATGGTTTTGAGTGCGCACCGCCATTCCGAGAGACGGAATCGGATTGCTCAATAGGGGGACATAACTCGTAATAGCCGCTGGTGGCGCCACGATCGAGCCTGGAAGTTCCAGCCAAGTTCGGCAAGGGTGGAAACTTTTATAGTCAGTTAATTCCCTTGCCTTGGGAAGATGCTTGGAAGGAGGAGGGGTAAATTTTGAATAATTTGTTTTCAGGTTTGACGAAACAAAATAAATAAATGGTTCTCTGGAAACGTTAGACGTTCTTCGAACAATGCATTGTGGGTAGCATTATATGTCATTAAGCGCACTGTAAAAAAGCAGTCTGTCTGAAAAATCCTCATCCCCAAACAAAAAAAACCCACACACCCCCCCCCTGAAACAAAAATCCCCACATCCCCACCCCTGAAACAAAAAAAAACACCGCCAAGAGTACTAAATGATCAGTCCCTATGTGGAGGAGACGAGCTGCAGCCCCAAACCGTCATCCTGCTTGTGTAGGAGAGTCCACGGCCCCGTCCTCCAGCGACGGTATAAGGCATACCCTGCCACGCCCAGAAGAGGAGCAACCACCCCCAGCACGACATAGGCAGCCACCTTGCCCGCTACAGAGCTTCCTGTGGAGGTCGGCTGGAACAGATGGTTTAAACGAGATATAGCAATAGTGTTGTTATTATATTACCGACGGAGGATTAACCTATGAATAAGGGGCGGTCGGGTAGCCTATTTGTTAAAAGTTCGCTCGTTACGCCGAAGACCCGGGTTCGATTCCCGTCATGGGTAAAATGAGTGAAGCAAATTTCTGGAATCCCCCGCCGTGATATTGCTGGAATATTGCTAAAAGCGGCATAAAACCATGCTCATTCACTCATTGTTGAATAACGTGATTATCACGAACTTGTTCTGATGAGGCCGACCGCCCCGTTGTCTAGTGGTAGAGCGTCCGCCCGGGGAGCGGCTGGCCGCGTCATACCAAAAAGACTTTACGAAAACGTACTTGTTGTTACCCTACCTGGCGCTCGACATTTAGGGGAGAAGAACTGGTCGGCTTGGATTCAGTATACTGTGTCTGAGTGGGGTATTCATGTTACACAGGCATTGTATCTCAGTAAGCCAGCACTATAAATCGGCATCAGTCTAATTAGACTAATTCAAGCAGACACACACACACACACACACACACACACACACACACACACGTGCATCCACGTCGCTAAGTAAGTGCAAAAATCTTGTACCTTCTACTCATCTCACCTGATTCGGCCACTAGCGATGCAATCGATGATATCAACTAAAGATTGGACTTGTTTATTGCAGGGCAAGAAGAGAGTGCAATTTGTACCAGAGCGAGTAAGTTTCGTTTATCGCCTCTTGAATAGTATTTCAGATATATGTTTTCCCAGGTTTCAGCGAGAGGAATCCCCCCCCCCCCCCCCCCCCCGTGTCACTAATTGTTACGGGGATGTTTACCATTTGTAAGTCTGCGATGGTATAGATAGTGCTGACTGGCCAAAGATTTAAACATCGCAAAACCTGGAATTCGAACCACAATCAGAGGATCCTGGCTCATCCAGGAGCAGCTATTCTGCACAACTAACTATGCCCATCAATTATTTGTTCACCGTTACCTACATCATTACTGCAGGAAGCTCACTTAACATTTAGATCCTAACAGTAATATGTTCAAACCATTCATCTATAAAGCCTTTGCGAATATCGAAGAAATCCTACCGATTCTGTAGATCCCGTGTTCGTCACACCTGCAAGAAGAAGAGAATGTACAACATCAGGCCACCACAGTTGTAAACACGTTGGTGAGAATGTATTGAGTGTAATGTTCAGAACCGTGGATTCAGAAATACATTGGGATATAGAGAATCCTATGTTAGTATTTGTGTTCACATTGAAATCACACTATATACTATCTAACAATATAAGATAGCTACACCATAAATCAAGAACAATGATGAAACGAAGCTGAATTATTATATTCTTCAGTGTGAAGACTCAGTTTTCTGAACTTGAGAAAAGTGATATTTTCATTGCAGTGAACATAACACTTGATAGTTCACTGCAATGAGAATAACACTTTGACGGAACTATTGTCATTCAAGAGCTACCTCCCCTCACATTGTCTCTCTTTGTCGTAAGTGTCTGGCCCGTATACAAACTGTTGACGCCCTTTTTACGCTAGTTCCACATTGACAAGTGTGTTTCGTTATGAACTGTAAATTTCTCATTTAACTCGTCAATCGAGACTGTTTGCTTCGCAAAGCGCCAGTTTTGTTACTTTTGTGTATTCTTTCGCTTCCAACAGCCGTGTCCTGATTTTCAAGAATATTTTTTGTTAAAATTGATTTTGTATATAACAATATCGAAATGTATGACAAAGAAGTTTCGTGACTCTTTTGTTTTTGATACTTTTCTTTATATTTTTAAGATTTTGCAAACACAAAACTACTTTTGAAGTCGCAAATACAAGGGGTGGTGAACCGTCCGTGTGTCAGGTAGGGGAATTAATATTTGAAGTTTTTACAGTTGTAATGAAATAATTTAATTTTCCTGTAGACAACTACATAAAAAGTATATAATATATAGGATAGTCCATGTGTCGAGTGAAATGTCATGTTTCTCCCATCTCGTGACAGGGAAAAGGAGATATTTTTACACGTGGCTACTCGTCACTCGATGTATTTCACTCGACACATGAAATATTCTCTATTTATTTCACGACAAAATATTGTTCTATCATGACGTCATTTCTGTATATTCGAACATGCTCTCGCAACTTGATGACGTCGTATGTTCGACGACATTATTTTTGAGAGAGTGGTGTCTAGTGAGCTGTTCCCCATAGATGTAACTGGGCAACGCAGATAAACGAGATGGCCGAACGATAGCTTCCAAAAGCGGGAGAGTTATGCCAATCGGTATTGAGAGAAAGGTTACAGGTTATTGACGTGAGTATCGTGAGAATATGCGGGAAATACACACCTGGGCATAACATGGACTTGTCTGACATTGCCGAAGTCGGATTCTATTGAGGGAGTCATCATTATTAAAATAAAGGTAAATAATTTCAAAGCTTGTACATTTCATCATCATCATTAAAGAGGTTGTAGATTATGTTCATATCTCATATAAGAAATAAACGACACGTGGTCGTTGTTTATCATACAATAAAACACTGCAGGAAGATTACACCACTCGGGGCCTCGCCCCTCTTGGTTTATTCTCCCTTATGTAATGTGAAGGGGGACATCTTACTTTTGTCGAGCTGCAGAGTTGCATACGATGATCTCTGCATCACCTCGGTGGTCTTTCTGCCAGCCGACCTGTCCTGCTGTACCCCATGTTCACGTGTAAAGGCTGCGATGTCAGTCGTAAAGGGAAACTCGCCACCGTCGTCGTCACTGTCAGGGTCGAGCATATGTTCATGGAGTACGTCGTCGTCGCCTCCGATAGATATGACACTCATAGTGGACTCCAGATCCGGTTCCATAATGAATTGGGTTGTATCATCACCATCATTATCATCATCACCAATTATCATAACTGTGATGGCGCCGTGCTCATCGTCTTCATCACCAACTGTCACTGAGGGCATCACCAGACCTGTGGACAATTCAAACAACTTGGCTTCATCTTCTGTGGTAAGAAAGTTAAGCTGATCATGTTGGTCTTCGTTGTGGTGAGATGCTGGGGTCTCTTGGCCAGCGTGGCCAACTGTTGCATCCTCTGGTATTACAGACATGGAACTGTCAGTTTCTGTGCTGTCATCAGTGTAGGAGGATGTGTTCAGTGCGTTATCCTCTTGTGATCTATTACCAGATGCTGACGGTGTTTCGTCTGTCAACTGTTTGTCGTTTTGATTCGGGGTAGTGTCTCTTTCGGTTGCTCCGCGTGTCGTCCAGGTCGGTGTGGTCGAGGTGGTGGAGGTGGGTGTCATGACATTGCTAGTCGTCCTTCTAATGGTGACCCTGGACCCGGTCTCTGTGACATGAGTAGACATACTTTCAGCCCCTTCTTCCGTTGTGGAAAGACTGTCCGTGGATGATATAGATGCTACTTTCCCGGGAGGAACAGACTCCGGCGTGACTGCCCACAGCTTCACGAACGGTTTGGTCACCATGCGACTCCTCAACTTGTTTTTAAGATTTCCACCCTTCTCTGTGCTGCTTGAGGCTTGGGACACATATTTCGTGGTCAGTGTTGCCAGGAGTCGACTCCTATCTGTGGAAGTTCCCCTGGGATTTGTTCTTGGGCCAGCTTCTGTCAGTGTTCTTTCCCCCGTCGTAGTAGGGCTTCTGGCGTCTTCTGAAACTTCTTTCACAGGAAATTGTGTTGTCCCTGTTGCAGCATCACCTGAGGCAAACTCGGTTATACCTGCTGTAGTTGATACTTCAGATGTTTGCTCAGGGTTCAACGTTGACGATTCCAAGCCAGGTGTGTTTGTTGTTGTCTTCGCCTTGTTTCTTTTAACTGAAACCGGAAGCCAATGAGATGCGAGTATATAATTTACATTTGCTTTGTTGAATGTCCTAACATGTATCACATGCAAAACCTTCGCTCTGAAACTTAAATGACTTAATGTCTCTAAGTCATTTGGCTTTTGCCCTTATCTGAACGGTTTTTAGTCATATCGCGATATCGGTTTCTTCAAAATTCCCATCTTAAATATACAACCTCAACGCCAGAGATTCACTCTTGATTATTCGCCGAAACAGTATCCATTTGGTTGAAAAGAAAAAGTAGCTTTTAAGATGATATGAATGTATTGCTGAAAATCTGTGATGAAACCAGGGTAAGCATAGCCTACCCTATAGGTAGCACCCGCCACTCACACAGTCTACAATCTACTATCTTTTAACGTATTTTGGCATGACGCTGTGAGAGGATCGAAATATCGACCTTCCACTATTTCCGTGCAGACTCCCGGCGGTCTGTGGGTTAAAATACTTCCCTAGACCTTGTATGAGGAGAGTCGTCAGGATTGGTGACATGTTTCATTGCGGTCCATCAGGCTCCAACGGCATGGAGCATTGCTTATATAATTGATAACTGTTTTTAGGGGGTATTTAAAGGCTGCTGTGATAAAACCGTAGTGGCTGGAATAAAACTGACAGCGGCGTTTAGCAACATTAAGTGATAAGTGGCTCGACCATCTGATATTCTGGGGAAGGGGACTGGGATCTTGTCGAAAAAAATACATTGTTCCAGAATATTCTTGAAAAATATAACAATGCCTCAGACTATGGAAAAAAAGGTCTTCCACCAAAATTAGATTGATCCAAGATGTTTTTCGCAAATAAATGTTCAGACTCATAGTTAAAGGTTATTTAAAATATTTGGTTTTGCAGCTGCAGCTGAAAAAATATCTAATCTCCATAGACAAACCCATGTTTCCCCAGAATATCCAATGATCGATTCCTAACTCACCTGAAGTTGCATGTCTCCCATAGTAACCCCATCCTTGTGTAGGTATGGCGCCAGTGGTGTCCGTGAAGACTCTGGAGTGAAGCCGACACATGCGCGCTGACTTGTTGTAGAAGTAGGACTTACACTTGGGCAGCATGTGACACTGAGAGGCGCAGCGCACCCTGCTGGACTTCATCTCCTTGAGGAGGTCCTCCTGGAAGATGACGTCCTTCATGTCGTGCGTGCTGTGGAACCTGGCATGCTGCTGTCCCGATGGCCGCTCATCTGATGCTGGGATGAGACACAGGAGGCACAGGAGATGGAAAGACAGTGTTGACACGGCCATCTTGTACTAGTCCCTCATCACTTCCATCGCATCCGCATATGTCATACAGGTAGGTCTTGATCGACTGGACATGACAGAAGAGTTCTTCTAGTGACGCGTAACAAATCCTGTTGCCATCGTTGTCCAGTAATAGTTCACCATCAATTAGAACGCCTTGTTCACAGAAGAGGATTACTTTTTTTAGCAAACCGCGGTTTATCAAATCACATTTCTTCTTTGGTGTTCATGTAGTCTTCTGGTATCATCCTTTCTTTGGATGGACCCGTCCTTACGTTCCTTGATCCGGGAATACTTGAATATGACCTTTAGGCTGAAAACATACGGAAAATGATAAATGTACAATAAAAACCAAGTTACCTTGAAAAAGTCGCCGTGTGGGTAATAACAACAGTCCTATAACCTAAGACGTCAATCCCCATCTTGTTTAAGCAAAATGTAGTTTTACAAACCATTGGAGAGGTGGTGGGGGCTGTTAAAGACACTTAACCCTGAAACCCAGTTCGCGACACCTCATCGACCGCTCCAGATGAAACCCAGTTCGCGACACCTCATCGACCACTCCAGATGAAACCCAGTTCGCGACACCTCATCGACCACTCCAGATGAAACCCAGTTCGCGACACCTCATCGACCACTCCAGATGAAACCCAGTTCGCGACACCTCATCGACCGCTCCAGATAAAACCCAATTCGCGACACCTCATCGACCACTCCAGATGAAACCCAGTTCGCGACACCTCATCGACCACTCCAGATGAAACCCAGTTCGCGACATCTCATCGACCACTCCAGATGAAACCCAGTTCGCGACACCTCATCGACCACTCCAGATGAAACCCAGTTCGCGACATCTCATCGACCACTCCAGATGAAACCCAGTTCGCGACACCTCATCGACCACTCCAGATGAGACCTAGGTTGCGACACCTCATAGACCACTCCAGATGAGACCCAGGTTGCGACACCTCATCGACCACTCCAGATGAAACCCAGGTTGCGACACCTCATCGACCACTCCAGATGAAACCCAGGTTGCGACACCTCATCGACCACTCCAGATGAAACCCAGGTTGCGACACCTCATCGACCACTCCAGATGAAACCCAGGTTGCGACATCTCATCGACCACTCCAGATGAAACCCAGGTTGCGACACCTCATCGACCACTCCAGATGAAACCCAGGTTGCGACATCTCATCGACCACTCCAGATGAAACCCAGGTTGCGACACCTCATCGACCACTTCAGATGAGACCCAGGTCATGTATTCAAGCAGCACCCTGCCGCTGCCCTGATACTGTAGCACCCAACTGAAGGTATGCCGTATGATATATAGTTGTCTGAGACCAATCCCATGCTGTACCTCGTTATTCAACAGACAAGGATGTCTATATTAATCGACCAGCACCGAGGACACCCCTGTTTACGTGATCCTGCACTGCCTCGATATGGACAACTTCATAATAAACTCCTGTTCCCCTAGACGTCCCACTGACCATGTGCCTCATCACTTGCTGTGTATGCTCTGAAGCCAGATGAGACGTATTTCCGTTGTTGCTAGAGCACGTCTGCGATATAAAGATTTATGAAAATAACACTCACAGTCAATTATTAAACTAGGTCGAAGAGCTGGCTCGAGTATTGATTTGCTTTCTTTCATGTCCGTGCACACTCCTTGTACATGTTCTGTAGTTCATATTTAAGTCTTGAAATAGGATATGTAAAGAAGCATGGGCTAGAACAAGGTGATGAGGAGACTTGCCCGAGTGGCTCGCAGTGACATTATTGTTTAAATAATTAGGCTTTCTGACAGAAACACTTCTGTGTTAAAATGATATCTTAAAGCTAGTTCCATTGTAATCTGCCGTGTGACGAGATGAAACAATCGATTTACCATGGTGACTCTCCGTGTTGTATGTTATGTTTGAGAACAGGTTGTTTGAAGTCGCGCACACAACACACACTCCACGCCTCACACACAACACACACTGCCTGCTGGAAGGGGGACTACATCCTGTACTTGTCCTAGCGGCCTGTTGACCAGCGGACACTGTCATTGTTTCTATCGATTGAATTATTCTTGTACAGATTTTACAGATTATTATTCCCCTTTCTGACACAAATCAGCTACTAAAGTCATTGTTCCTTTGGAGACTATTGATTGTGTGAATTCCTTGCACCAGAGTAACCTGGCGACTAAATATTTAATTTGACAAGCTATTTTATGAATAATATATATTATATATAAACATATATGACATATTTAACATATACATATATATTAGAAATATTTATATATACAAGCAGCTCCATCCATCCATCGAGATTAGTGTGTCAACCAATATTTCAGAAAGCGTCATAGAAGACAAGGCCTCAGTAGAGCTTTCAACAAGTTTTATGGTTGACATGTGAAGGAGTGAGTGAGTGAGTGAGTTGGGTTTAACGCCGCTTTTAACAGTATTCCAGTTATATCGCGTGAAGGATATGTCCAAATTTAATGAACGAGTGATATAAACATATCTAATGCAATTCCCTACCTTGATGTGTACCATATGTTCCCGTGTCTCCTTAGGCGAACAATTAACTTGCCTTTGCATGTGTTTGTGTCGGGAGCCACCAGTAGGGCAGGACGCGAACACCTGGTATCAGGAGTATTTGAATGTGATTCATACATGCACGCTTTTAAACACAGGCATCTCGACCCAGCAGAGAGAGAGGTTTGTGAGCGACTCGCACATCCTTTGAGATACTGCATCCTTGATCACGTGCAAATACAACAGATATCAATACCTGATCTTACATGCAAGGGTAAATTTAACATACTTTGGCGGTATCTATTTGGGTTTATGTGCATTTATACACATGTTGTGTTGCTTATTTGCAAACTGGGGCTCACCTATCATGCAGTCAACAAACCAAAAATGTCCGTTCTGTTTGAGATGGACCGTCCCCGTGTTGTTGTGGATAGAGAATCCCGAGAGCGGAAGATCTTTGGTTTGTTCCCAGGCTCTGTCTTCTAATATACGTTAAACATTACCCTCCCTACCGGTCGGATTACGATCATTTTGTGTATAAGTCGGGTGTCCATGTTGAAACTGCGGCACGGCATCCGAGTGGGCGAGCACCATAAACCGACATTAGTCAGTACTAGAACAAGCAATCATACTGAACACGACGTCAAACCACACTTCACCTCATGACCCCACCGCTATATGAAATGCGCTATGTGAAGTATACTGTGTTGAATGTCAAGCAAAGGTTTACCTTCAGTAAGGGTATCTCCAGTCGTGTCTGTCCTTGCTCTCATCCGTTATAATCAACACGATGTCGATCACTAGACAACATGCATTGCCAAGAGATCGACCGCTTTTCAATGAATTATTAATAAACACTTTTGTACTAAGATATCCGATTTCTATGTTTAAATGTCAGGAAAATGATTTTAACCTGCAATAACTTTCTAGTGATGTTGTTTGTTGCTTCCACTTTTCCCTGAGCTCAGTTTGAATAATAATCTCCTCACGTGTAGTACATATCATGCATTCGACACAATATACACAACTTAAACTGCTAATCATTTTACATAAAGCACTAATATTATGGATTCTACTATATATTCGGAAAATACTCGATTCTGATTGGTCAATCAGAGACTTCAAATCATGATAACCACCTCTGACTGAAAGAGCTGGTTTGACTCCCGCAACACCTCGGACGTTATTGTGTTGTACAGAAATACGTCTTCCTCATCCATTGTCAGGAGACATTCTGATATGATGTCATGTGCAACATAGATTACTCATTGCAGAGTTGTTATACGCAGCACTCAGCAATGTATATAATAATATATAAAGAATAATAGACATAGAGTTCCTTCCTTGAAATAACATTGTTAATTCATTTTTTTAACACAGCTCTCAGCAATATTCCGGCTATATGGCGGTGGTCTGTAAATAATCGAGTTTGGACACGGCAATTCAGGGATTGACATCATGAGCATCGATCTGCGCATATTGGAAACGATGACACGCATCAACCAAGTTATCGAGCCTGACCACCCGATCCCGTTAGTCGCCTTTTACGACAAGCATGGGTTACTGAAGGTCTTATCAAACCCGGATCTTCACGGGTAATATTCAATGAATGTGCTGCAGTACATTTGAGAAGAAAGAACCTGATAGAAATCGAGTTGTTTTTTAGTTTTATGGGCTACACAAAGCGTGAAATTTGGCGCTTTTTAAAGCCGACTGTGACGCCATCTTTTGCGTCGCAATGGTTACGTGACGTCATATTGGTAAAATAATGTGTGCAAATTGTGCATGGCTTATTTAATTTATTAAGATGTGTCCACGAAGGGTATAAACTTCAATGAAGATGCTTCCAACGTAGATTTCATATCTATACATTTTCTTCGAAACTGAACCTGCCAGCTGAAATATTTACAGGTATCGAATCGAATTTCGATTGACCTTCAAATTCAGTGATAGTGGACCAGACAATCCAGTGACACGGTAGTGCGTTAACTGATTTCAGGGAAACTAAAAACGAAGATGTTAATTTTGCATTACGTCTGCTGCATACAGGTGCAGAGATTCTGCTGCTTACGAGTAAAGAGAAACATTAAGAATATGTTCGTTTTGTGAAACAGTTGAGGGCAGTTTTAATGTCTCGGCACGGCATTGTATTGTATTATATTACTTTGCATAGGCACCCCGAGCATATTTGATTCGAAATTGGGATTTTCGTTGATGTAATTTTGTGACAATTGTAATTCAAATTATTCATTGTCTGCTGTTTTATGCATTCACGTGTCAATCTCGCAGCTAACAAATACCCTTATTACACAGCGTCAGTGAGTGTTATACTTGGCTCTATCTCAATAACGGACCCGTGAAGATCCGGAGTAGAATAGGTCTTCAGCAACCCATGCTTGACCCAAAAGGTGACTTGTCGTAAGAGGTGACTAACGGGATCGAATAGGCAGGTTCGCTGACTTGGTTTGATGCATATCATCGTATCCCATTTGCGTAGATCGATGCTCATGATGTCAATCACTGGATTGTCTGGTCCAGACTCGATTGTTTACAGACCACCGTCACATAGCTGGAACTATTGCTGAGATCGGTGTTAACAAAATAAAGATAAAACAATGTTATTTTTAGGAAGCATATTTATGTATATTATTCATTGATACAGTAATAGACATTCGTGGACCCGTGATGATTCCGGGGTAGAATAGGTCTTCAGCAACCCATGCTTGCCGTAACAGGCGACTATGCTTGTCGTAAAAGTCGACTAACGGGATCGGGTGGTCAGGTTCGCTGATTTGGTTGATATATGTCATCGATCCCAATTGCGTGGATCGATGCTCATGATATCAATCACTGGATTGTTTGGTCCAGACTCGATTATTTACAGACCGCCGTCATATAGCTGGAATATTGCGGAGTGCGGCGTTAAACAAAAAACAAACAAACAAAACATGCCCGATTAGGCCTGAAGTATAGACTCCCTCCAGCATGCACATCAGCACCAGCTAGTGTTGGTATTCCACTATGTTCGTAGCGTGTACAACATGGTTACACTTACAGAAGAGGCAATGCATTATCACCAAGGTTTATTTGTATCCCGTCAGCTAGTGTGAAGGAGACTAATCAACATTTATTGATCAACATTTATTGATCAACATTTATTGATCAACATTTATTGATCAAAAGCTTAGCAATGTGTTGCGCGTTATACATGAAGCTAGTCCAAGCGTTATCGTGTTAAATGTGCACCAAGAAGAAACAGCGTATATATTTGTTCAAGAACAAAACAAGAGAGAGTTGTCCAGACATCACTGTCGAAACCATGATCGTTCATGAAGCTTCATTAGGGGCGGTCGGGTAGCCTAGTGGTTAAAGCTTTCGCTCGTCACGCTGAAGACCCGAGTTCGATTCCCGACATGGGTACAATGTGTGAAGCCCATTTCTGGTGTCCCCCGCCGTGATATTGCTGGAATATTGCTTAAAGCGGCGTAAAACCATATTCACTCACTCACTATAGCTTCATTATCGTAATCAATGAACATTTGTCAAAGCGTTTAGTCAGTAAACAAAGATAAAGCTTGACGCGGGCTGTATTCCCTTCACCGAGCATGAACTGTGCTGATCATAGACAAAACCCTTTACAAAGTCTTAAGAAACCTCCGCTGATAGCAAAGTCCATTGTACGATTCCGACTATTTCCAACTGTGTACATGAATCACATGAAAAGGTGAAGCTATCCCGTTCCTCCTATCGCACCCATCACAACCACACACAAGGGGAAGTCAATTAAGTAAGGATAAGATATAAGGATGGATAACTTCTTTATTACAATTAGGAGCGACGTTTCGGTATGAGTGATATGCAGAAGTTGTTCGTTCACCAATTCTGTTTCTTCTTCTTCAGTATGTACATTCGACCAACATTCCGCACCGACTTAACGCACTCTGAAAGACATTCAA